GATAAATATCTAAAACACAAAAAACCTTTAAGAAAAATGGCAGACATTAAACCTGAATATTTAAATTGCGTACCAGAGTTCGATGGTAATCCAAACGAACTTAATAGGTACTTATCGGTATGTGAATCTCTTATTAACAGTTTTTATATTAGAGATCAGCCAAATCATTTCCAAAATACATATTTATTAAACTCTTTAATTTCTAAACTTCGTGGAAACGCAAAACTTTTTGTAAATATACAAAATGTAACCAGTTGGACATCGCTAAAAGATACTCTTTCTAGAAATGTTGCCGATCAGAGAGACGAAGCTTGTCTAAACCGCGATCTAGTTATGATGAGTCGAGGTAATAACGAAAAACCTCAACATTTTTACGATAGAATTTTGAATATTTTAAATCTTATTTGTAGCTATGTAGAGTTACACGAAATAACTCAAAATAGTAAATTACTAGCTTTGAAAATGTTTCTATCCGGTCTTAAGGAGCCTTTGGGAACTACAATTCGTTGTATGAAGCCCAATAGTTTAAATCAAGCATTGCAATATCTTTTAGATGAAGATAATATACATCATCTCCAAAATTTTCAAAATAACCAAAACAGAAATTTTAATAAACAACCTTCCCCACAATTTAGGCAGAGACCAATTTCAAATAATCAAAATTGATTTAATACTAGAAATTTTAATCAACAACTTCGATATAATTTTAATGCACAAACTTCTAATGATTTCTTTACAACACAAAATTCCTTTCCAACAGGTCCTGTAAACATCCAACCACGAGTACCTAGATATCAAAATTTTCCTACTATTGCTCAAGTCTTTAATCAAAATAGAAATAATAACGTTTTCAAACCTAATCAAACACCTACACAGAATTTTTCAAAACCTACTCCAATGAGTGTTTCCAGGCGCAATACATTTAACAGAAATACTCCAATGAGTACTTCTACTCGAAATGGTCCAAATTTTTTAAACTCATTTAATCGAAACCAACCTCGAATGAATTTTATAGCCGAAGAATTATTTAATGCGAAATGTCAAAATGCTGACAATTTTTCTAATTCTCACGATATTAATCTTGAATCCACTAATGTTCATAACTCTTCTTATGGCAACGAAATATTTCATCTCGAGAATGATTTAATTGATTTTAATGACCCAGAAACAAATTTTCAGAATCAGCCTCATGGCAGACCCACGACGTAACCCCGTACGTCATATCCCTTAATAATATAAAAAATACAAACGAATTACCTTATATATTTTTTACAAAACATAATTTAAAATTACTTATCGACTCAGGGTCTACAAAATCTTTTATCGATCCAAACGTAGCAACAAAATTTTATTCTAAATACATAAAAGACGATCCATTTATTGTTTCGTCTGTCAAAAATCTGCTCATAAGTATAGTACGCTAATTCCAACTCCAAAAATGTTTAAATTACCAAATCATACAAATTTAAAATTCTTTTTGTTTAAATTCCATAATATATTTGATGGGTTAATAGGAATAGATAACCTTAGAAACTTGCAAGCAAATTTAGATTTCGATAAAGGATATCTCTCCACCCCTTATACTAAAATTCAGTTAATTTTTCAGCCAACTCAAAGTGAAATAAATTTTTTAAACATAGCTCCGCGTTGCGAACAAATAAAAATAAAATCTACTGTTTCTAACGGAGAAATAACAATTCCACATCAAAAATACGGAAATTGCGAAATACCAGAATGTCTTACAATAGCCAAAAATGGCGAAGCCTTGACGGCAATTCTAAACAATTCTACCTGCCCAATTACTTTAGAAGAGAAATCACAGATAATTAATTTAATTAAAGAATACACAGACATATTTCATCAAGATAATCTACCCCTAACGTTCACAAATAAAATCAAATACAAAATAAATACAACAGATGAAATTCCTGTTTATTCACGACCATACAAATATCCATTCATATATAAAGACGAAGTACAAAAACAAATAAAAAAGATGTTAGACTCAAAAATAATTCGCCCTAGTAATTCTCCATGGTCATCCCCTATCTGGGTGGTACCAAAGAAAATGGACGCATCAGGGGAAAGAAAATGGAGGGTTGTAATAGATTATAGACAGTTAAACTCAAAAACCATCGACGATAAATACCCCCTCCCAAACATCACCGACTTATTAGACAAGCTGGGTAGATGTCAATATTTTACCACTCTCGGTCTGGCAAGTGGATTTCACCAGATCGAGATGGACAAAAAAGATATAGAAAAAACCGCATTCACAACTGAAAATTCACATATAACATAATTTAGAAAAAAAGGTAACCCTAATTCAAACGCCGACGCCTTATCTAGAATCGAACTGCATACTAAAGAAACAGACCCATTTTGGCAACAAATAGGAGATATATTAAAAGATGCTGAAAATTACAACGAACAAAACTCAGATCTATTTAGTTATAACAAACCATAACAAAGTACTAACCAAAATGACCTTATTGATTTATATATCGAGAACATACTTATATTTGAAAACTCCTTAAAAAATAATACAGTAAAAATAAACGACGACATAGATAATATATCTCTACAAGTTCAAGTTGACTCAGATGCTCACACTGAGACAGCACACGAAATAGAAACATTACTAAATGATCAAATTGAAAATATTGAAAACAATAACGACAATGACGACATTACTATACATTCTAATTTAACTCACAATCTGACTTTTGAAATACCCACAATAAAGACATCTGTGAACTACGGACAAAACCAAATAATTATCAGTGACGTACTACATTCATCAGCTACCCCAAAAATAAAAAATTCTTTTCGAAAAAAAAAAAAAGACGAATTTGTGCTCAAATTTCAAAGAATAATCTTGAATCAGATGTAATTAATCTTATAAAAAATTACGTTAATTTAGACGGCGTTCATTACATTTATTTCGAAAATCCTAATATGTTTGAGCCATTCTTAGTAATCCTACAAAATTAATTTAAAAATTCTGCTATTAAATTTAAAAGGTGTACCCAAAAATTATTAGACATTACAACCAAAGACGAAGTTAATGAACTTATACAAGCTTATTACGAAGGCAAAACAAACCACAGGAGTATAGACGAGACATATTTAAAACTTAAAGACAAATATTATTGGCCTTTACTGAAAAACTCGATACAAACTTACATAAATGATTGCGAAATTTGCCAACAAAGCAAATACGAAAGAAACCCCGTAAAAATAAAAATGAATCAAACCCCTACTCCAACAAAACCCTTTCAATTCTTATATATAGATACATTTACTCTCGAAGGTACCAAATTTTTGACAATCGTTGACAGTTTTTCAAAATATGCGCAAGCATACCATCTAACAAGTCTTTATAGCGTCGAAATCGTTAACAACCTTATAACATTCTTCTCTCACCATGGTATCCCTCAACAAATATACACCGACAATGGTACTGAATTCAAAAATACCGTAATTACAGAACTTCTCAACCTACATAAAATTAAAATACATTTTTGTTGTCCTGAACAGCCACAATCACAAGGTTCCATAGAAAGACAACATTCGACAATTATAGAACATATACGGTTACTTAACACTAAAGGCTCTCTTAAAACACCAATTCTTTTGAAAATGCCTTATGCGATTATGGCATATAATTACTCTATACATTTTGAGATCCGAAAATATTTGTCATGCTTTCAATTTATTACTGTCACAATTCTTAATTAAACACATTTTTTTAAATAAACACAAATAAAATAATCTTAATTTTATTAAAAGCGTTTCATAGTAGAGGAATGACGGAATGACAGTTTGTTTGATTTGGTACAGTGCTGTCAGAATATACACTGGTGCACGCAGAAATTACGACATCTAGTACGATTGTGAATTGTACTAGACTGGCAACATTGGTTTGGCAACCTTGGCAATGATGTACCAAAAAATATAGATTAACACGTATAAAAATAAAAATATTAAAATTAAGTTTATATTTTTATGTTATTTATGTAATATTAAAATAATGTGTGTTTATGAAATTTAACTGGGTGTTCGCTGCACAAATGAACCAATGGAAAAACCGCCCCTGGTCCCTCATCTAACTGTAAAAAGTATTACGCCGTACTTTTTGCTTGCTATTTGTAGCTGGGTACAGGGAAGGAGGTTAAACAACATGTACTATGTCCTAGTGGTGGGAGTTGTCGTGTAACCTGTCAAATTAAAAGTACTTATCGATGGATTTTTAGTTTTTTCTGGCAATTAAGTAATTTGCTTATAGACGTATATAAAAATAAAAAAAGGTTTTGCTACTTTCGATGTAAGTGTAGAAATTTCTCAAATAACAGGCGATGGGCTTAGGTAAACATAAAAATATTAAAATTAATAATCTTAACATGGTTTCAATTTCATCAGATGAAGGTACTGATGTTGAAAAATTTAAGACTGTGGAATATACCAAGCATAGAAATTCCAAATACAAATTGAAATTATGGGATATCATCACTAAAGAAAACAAATGATTTACTTACAATAGGTATAGAAGAAACAAAAGTTTTTGATGCACTCAAAACGCTTTTTAAGTTTTTCAAAATATTGAAAAATATTACTCAAGCTTTCGGATTTTAAGAAATTCGAATCAGCCAAAAAATGTTTTGGTTAAGAAAACGTGAAAATAATCAAAGTTATCTAGATATGTCAAATTTGACGGGTATGGCTTATAGAAAAAAACGTAAATAAAATTTTAAATACTTTGGAAATTATGAACTCTAAATTTCAATAAACTAAATAATAAAAAAATTCCCAATTTTTAGATCCACATAATCGGATATTTATAATACTTTTATTTTTAGTAGCACACTGTACAGATATCGGTTATCTCATTTTAAAATAACATTACACCAATTATAGACATGCGAAACATCATATAAAGATTAGTCAGACTTAAAATTATTTATTTCAAACTTGTTGTTTAAACAATTTATACAACAAAAATGAAGATCATTTATTTAATATATATTTTTATATACATTTCGTGTAATTCGGTAAATTTAATACAAAGTCGTAATTGTTCATCGTTAAAACCGTGTCAAACACCTGAAATATGTTCAAGAGTAAGATGTGCATTGCTTTTATGCAAACCAGGTACAATAGCAAAGACGTTGCCTTGTAACTGTTGCCCTGAGTGTGTCCCAGACGGCAACGAACAGCCTCAGTGTGCAGCAGTACAATATACTAGACCCAAATGTCAGCCATGGCAGAAGCTTGTTGTACCTCCTGGTCAATGTTGTCCAATATGCGAACCTAGCGAATGCCAAAAACCTGAATTATGTCCAAGGATCTTATGTCTCAGACCTCTTTGTAAAAAAGGTGAAGTAGCAAAAAAATTTCCATGCAATTGTTGTCCAGTCTGTGTTCCAGAGGATTGCCTAACTCCTAGTGATTGCAATTTATACGACTGTGCATATCCAAAAGAATGCCCTCATGGCCAGGTATCAAAAATTTTGCCTTGCAAATGTTGCCCTGAATGTGTACCAGATGGCAACGAACAGCCTCAATGTGCAGCAGTTCAATGTACTAGACCCGAATGTCAGCCAGAGCAGAATCTTGTCGTACCTCCTGGTCAATGTTGTCCAATATGTGAGCCTAGGGAATGCCAAACACCAGAAATATGTTCAACAGTAAGATGCACATTTCCTGTATGTAAACCAGGTACGATAGCTAAGACGTTGCCTTGCAAATGTTGCCCTGAATGCGTTCCAGATGATAACGAACAGCCTCAGTGCGCAGCAGTACAATGTACTAGACCAGAATGTCAGCCATGGCAAAATCTTGTCGTACCTCCTGGTCAATGTTGTCCAATATGTGAGCCTAGCGAATGCCAAAAACCAGAATTATGTCCAAGAATCTTATGTCCCAGACCTCTTTGTAAAAAACGTGAAGTAGCAAAAAAATTTCCATGTAACTGTTGTCCAGTCTGCGTTCCAGAGGATTGCTTAACTCCCAGTGACTGCGAATTAGTTGACTGCGTAACTCCAAAAGAATGCCCTCATGGTCAGGTATTAAAAACTTTGCCTTGCAAATGTTGCCCTGAATGTGTCCCAGATGGCAACGAACAGCCTCAATGCGCAGCAGTTCAATGTACTAGACCCGAATGTCAGCCAGGGCAGACTCTTGTCGTACCTCCTGGTCAATGTTGTCCAATATGTGAGCCTAGAGAATGCCAAACACCAGAAATATGTTCAAAAGTAAGATGCGCATTGCCTGTATGTGAACCAGGTACGATAGCTATGACGTTGCCTTGCAAATGTTGCCCTGAATGCGTTCCAGATGATAACGAACAGCCTCAATGTACAGCAGTTCAATGTACTAGACCAGAATGTCAGCCATGGCAAAATCTTGTCGTACCTCCTGGTCAATGTTGTCCTATATGTGAGCCTAGCCAATGCCAAAAACCGGAATTATGTCCAAGGATCTTATGTCCCAGACCTCTTTGTAAAAAAGGTGAAGTAGCAAAAAAAATTCCATGCAACTGTTGTCCAGTTTGCGTTTCAGAGGATTGCCAAACTCCCAGTGACTGCGAATTAGTTGACTGCGCAATTCCGAAAGAATGCCCTTATGGTCAGGTATCAAAAACTTTGCCTTGCAAATGTTGCCCTGAATGTGTCCCAGATGGCAACGAATGGCCTCAATGCGCAGCAGTTCAATGTACTAGACCCGAATGTCAGCCAGGGCAGAATCTTGTCGTACCTCCTGGTCAATGTTGTCCAATATGTGAGCCTAGGGAATGCCAAACACCAGAAATATGTTCAACAGTAAGATGCGCATTGCCTATATGTAAACCAGGTATGATAGCGAAGACGTTGCCTTGCAAATGTTGCCCTGAATGTGTCCTAGATGATAATTGTAAGAAACTGGAAAATTGCACAGAAGTATTTTGTGTGAAACCAAAATGTAAGCCTTGGCAAAAGGTGGTCACTCCTACATGTGAATGTTGTCCAAGATGTGAACCAACTGAATGTCATGAATCTGTTTGTCATAAAGGAGAGATAGCAAAAATACTTCCAGGTAATAATTGCCCGAGTTGCGAGTCTGATTATTGTGAGACACCTGAAGATTGTATGTTAGTGCGTTGCGCAATGCCGATGTGTGCAAAAGGATTAGTAGCTAAAAAACTACCTTGTAAATGTTGTTACCAATGTGTACCTAAGAACTGTTTAGGTGAAGAAGAATGTGCTCAAGTTTTCTGCATTAAACCAGTTTGTAAACCTTGGGAGATTCTCATAACTCCTAGGTGTAAATGCTGTCCAATCTGTATGCCGCTACCAAATAAAAACGGTCTTTAGATAAGGTTTTACTTTTAAATATTTAACTCTAATGTATTTTTCCTAATAAAAAGTATGTTTTGCTTACAATCGCTTTTTTATTTATTTTTTTTTTACTAAACATACATTAATAGCATATTACGTAATAAGTGTAGTAAAAAGCATATTCATCACGAATAGCAAAATTAATTTCTTAAATGTGTAATTACTTTACATCACGTATTACGTACTATATTTTATCTACGACTACTTACACATTCACACATGCATGTCACTACTTATATATGTATATAATATAATTATGTGTAATGTGACTAAAAGCTACAAAATAACAAATATTAAACCGGTAGTTCTCTTCCGATTTGACCGAAAATAAGATACACTTTGAAACTAGCCAATAAGATTTCTGGCTTCATTACGATGTTTCAAGAACACTGAGGAGCGTATTTCAAATTTGCTTGATTTTTTTGAAATTGTTAAATGGTCGTGCGAAGCGATCAAGACCGGTCCTATTCTATAGGGCGACGCCCATTCTACATCGATATATCCGAGAGAATACCATAAAACTCTTTGTACACATATCGACTCATAAAGCATGGGTTTTCGCTTTTTCCCAACTAGGGCAGCATTGCGAGATCTTTCTACAAAAGCTCGATGCCAGGCCTAGAAGTGTGGGATATAACATTTCTAATAAATAGACTCTTTGAAGATAGTCACTCAAGTATTATTTTTAGTGGGCGGAACGTGGCTACCACGACTTTAGAAACTGTATTGCCAAAGTTTCTGCCACGTAATAGACACGTTTCTACCACGTGTTGGTAACCAAAATGGGGAACACTTTCTTGGTGGCAACCACGTTCCAGCCACGTTTTCGGAACTTATATAATCACGTTTACGCCACGTGGCGAAAATGTGGTGATAACGTGGCGAAAACGTGGCGAAAACGTGGCGAAAACGTGGCGAAAACGTGGAGGCACGGTGGCCGGCACTAAACGTTGAACCACAGCTTATTCACTACCAGCTGGTCATCTCATCGGCGGCACCTTTGTACTTTGAAAGTCAGCAGTCGGTAGGTCGGTATTCGCGTGCTGTAGAGAGTGGGATAGCGAGCCACCATACTAGCAACGATTTGCGTATCAGGCCCGTATTAAGTTGTTTTAACGGGAATCGAATTTCAGAAACGATAAAAATTATAAATGTATATTACAAAATATTTATTAAAAACGACTTGCACATTAGCTTACATTACTACTAAGAAAATAATTACTGATTTTTCCAAATTATTAATTATCTATTTCTCTGGCTTACTTTAAAATTCCTATTGGCATATTTTAGCGTATAATAAGTTCTGACTCTTGCATATAAGTTCAGCAAATACGTATGCGGAAAATTTGTACAGGGGTGAATAAAGGGACGGTTTTAAAAATATTAACAATTGTGGAAACTATAACAGTTAATTTCTCAACATTCTTTTGAAACAGTATTTTTGATGCTGTTATAAAATTTATAAAATTTGTATGTGGCATATAAAGGCTACCGTACTGATCCAAATCTGAGTGCACGTACGCTTTATAAAAAGAAAATAATGATGTTTCATCCACTTTGGTACTATTTGCATTTGCATATTGCACGCACGTGTCACAAGTATGCCGCGCCAAACATTTTTTTATTAAATAACCGCAAACATATTTGACAAATTTTTTTTTTAAAATATCTGAGTTTCTACAACCAGTGTCTACGATTACAGTTTTAATAGGTACTGCAGGTTCACACTGGTCTTCAACATTCTGTGGCATATCTGTCATCTTCCGTAAAACACGACTAGTATCGTCCTAAATGTAAGAGATCTAAACAAAGTAATTTTCTGAATGCCCGTATATACTGTATTGGGGTTGGATTTACATTATTTCCAAACTGTTGATGAACAGAACCAAAAAATTTTTCAAGACAATCCTGATGTGTTCGTCGAGTTAATAAAAATTTTATGTCAGAATGCTGTAAATTTTCCCATAAATGCAAAATACCCGTAATAGTTATTTTCCAACCCAATATGCACTTAATTGTTTTTGTAACATTTACACCATCTGCGTTAAATACTTCCATATTATTGAAAAAAGTTAAGCACTCTGTCTGTTCTCTGTTGCCTACATACACTTACTGATATTGTGTAGCTGCTGGACCACCAGATGTATTTAAAATATCGAACAAATTGTTCATTCTTAAAATCAAGTCCGCTGTAGTAGTAACTGCTGATGAAAGTGCGTCGAATCTAATGTATAAATACATACTGTGAGCTACCGAAGCACTAAAAACTTGACTGCTAATTTGACCTTCATTTTCTCAAAATTATTGGGGAAAATGTGTGAGTCAGTCAATTTTGAAACCCCTCGAATATTGTATGACATCGTGCAAATAAAATTGTTTCACATATTCTCAAGAGGCTACTGAATCATTAATCTTAAAATTATGTTTTATCAAGTTATTTCTAAGAGCTTTTAATAAATGAGGGATATCAAAGAGAAATACAATTTTGTCATTTCCAAACATAAAATACGGATATTCTAGTGAAACATCCAGTAATTTTAATAACTGCAAATTATTTGAGCTCATATCACATACAACGCCTACTACTTGGAGCCCTATATTAGTAACTTCTTGTATGACGTTTAAAATTAGTTGCTTTAATTGCAATCCAGGACACGTAGAAATAACTAGATAATAGGCAAGTGGTTGCTTCCAATTTGTACATATACCTCTAGTCATGACTACTGTGGCAGCTAGTGCTGGTTTAAAAGATCTGTATTCACCTCCCATGTCTTCAAGATCATATACCCTATCTGAATTTATATTATAAAACAAATTAGCTTTACAGTTCATTTCATCCACAAAAATAAAACAAAGTTTAACTAATACCTCAAAACGTTCGGCTTTATCGTTTTAAATTTTAAATAGTACACTATTTATACCAACAGAAAAATTAATGTCATTGATAAACTTTTGTAAGGTGCCAATTCCAGGCAGACAAAAGTTATTTGACAGTTGCTGTTTTTTATATAGTTTCGGACCTAGAAAATAGAGCGACAAACAATATTGCTTAAATTCACTAGTGAATTATCTGCCTTTCGGTTTCTTAACCATTTCTCCTACTTGTATATTTATAAAATCCGCTATATCTTTAGCGCCGCACAACGATTGAAAATACGCATTATCGTAATACCTCGAAAATAAACTATTTATACAAAACACGATAAAATACACTAAGTTCGCTCCTGTACTCCTGTTCTCTACATTACCACTTTCTAGCGGCAAGTGAAGCTCAGACAGCTGGTAATGACTCCGCCCATATGCGCAGCCGTCCCAACTCCAACGTTCCGTTTTATTGCGAGATGACCAGCTGGTAGTGAATAAGCTGTGGTTGAACTTTGCTTATTGCCCTTGTCTTTTGATTGATATTTGTAGCTTGGTCTCCGTCCGACAAATTATTTCTCCCATTCTCCTTGCTTATTCTCTAACTTGACATAACTAGTAAACTAATAAGTAGGTACATACTGAATAATAATAATAAGGTGTTATAAAAATATTGATTTAGGAATTCTGATAGATAAAAAGTTGGGACGATTGGAAGTTTACTGTCAAATATAGGTGTTTTAGCTCGAAATATGGGCACGCGCCACTGGAATACTCTATATTTAATTAAAAAGTTAAAATCTGTAAATTTTTCATTTTCGAAATTATTTATTTCGATGCCTTAAACAGTATTTTTATCAATCTTGGTTAATTAAAATCATTAAATATATTTAAATTTTATTGAATTGAAGTTATACGGACGAAAAAAAATTTTTAAATAGCATATTGACTATCTTAAAAATGGTTACAAATATGTCTGCTTTAGGAAAAATCTTTAAAGTTGCAAAAACTAAAAATATGCCACTTTGTAGTTACTTTCATCAACTAAGTGGCATCTGGAACTAATCCAAAATATTTTTTAGCACTTCAGAGTGGCGGTTAAGTGGCAGCCACCTAGTCTTTGCCACCATAAAGTTAATTATTTAGATTGTTGCCAGATCAGCCATTTCTCCACTTATTTCAGTTTTTGAGTTGTTCAATAAGGCCAATGTCAGGGGGAAAATCAAATTTACCAAAAATTACAAATACTAACCTAGATCAAAGTAATGTAAATTTAAAGCAATTTTAATTTTGAATAGCGTAAAACGGCTACCATTGGTTTTAACTGCAGTATATTCTCAATGTTAAATAAAATTGCACAAAATTCTATTGGTGAACCTCGAAAAGGTGGTAGCCCATCCAAATTGATAATCAGTGTCACTGCTTGTGGTGGTGCGGCTATATCAGAAAATGTTGTAAGCAAGTAGTTTTCTCTTCCATTATATCAAAATTGTCCATTTTCCATTGTTATAATATTAACTGATGTTGGAGTTTTCAATAGAGTTCTGCTGTCAGATGGTAAATTTATATCTTTTGTTTTGAAAATATGCAGTAGGTCATTGAGTGAACTATGGGCTATTTTATGTACATGATACCACCTTATAAGTTGTTCTGATAGTGAAATCTGAGAGTTAATACGTTCATGTTCTTCATCGACGACATATGCCATAAAATCTTCAGCCAGTACGAACAATCCGTCGTTATGAATGTTATCTTCATTATCATAACAATTTCTTTCATTTTTAATTGGTTTACAAGACTCACCTTTCAAATTGTTGTCCAAGAAAAGAGGTTCACTGTTTACTGTTCACTTGTACTGACGAAGAAAACAACTTTTGAGAATTTTTACATTTTTTTGTTCCGGCAACAGCTGCTTGTTCACTACAGAGTAATATCGTTTAAGATTTTTGGTACCATTCATTTGTTGTTTAAGTTGTCTATAAAAAGTTGTCGAATGTCAAAAAGTAATCTTTTTGCGAGACTTCTTGTTGTTTCCCATTTTACACACAAATGCACTCTAGATAAGTCTAAAAACAAAGTAATTTGCGCACAGATCGACGACACTTTGGTAGTTTTTTCTTTATTGCGAATGCGGACAATGTAAAAAGCAGGCCACTAATAGGCAACGGTTGCTTCATTGTGAATTTTGAAAGTAATAGTAACTTTTAAGTGGCTTTTGTTCAACGCAATATGTGGAAATCACTTAAGAGCGTGGAAAAAACGTGGCAAGAACTACTGCAGTTATACAATCAAGTGCTGCCACTTTAAAGATATATGTATGGTTCCCGAAACGTTACTAAAACTATAAAACCCAATTTAGGATTACTGCCACTTCTAGGTGGTATTACAGTGATATGATTATGACTATTTATAAGTTTGTGCAACTTTAAAGTGGTCCCGCTTAGTGGATATAACGTTTCAAACACCTTCAGAGGTAACTAAATAATATAAAACTTCGAAGTGATTCCCAGTAGTGAAATACACGTGGCTTCAACCAAGAAAATATAAAATTAAGTTATATTCACTATACATATAGGAGTACATTTAGTGATTGTAACTTAATCGAAGTGATAATATAAGTTTCTGTCACTATAATACTACTTGGACAGTTTTCAAGTATAAGTTTTAATATCAATGTGTAAAGATATAATGTAATTGTGATTTATAATAGTGTTTGAGTATTGAACTAATTAGTTAGTACTTATAAATAAATTATAAATAAACTATTTTCAAATTAAACAAATATTCATTCGGTGTAGGTTTCATAAATAGCTATTAAATTCGATTTTAAAAAATATATATTTTTTACTTTCACTAATACGCCCATTGTCTACCATCAAAGAATTGACTATATTAGTATATGGTTTTTTCAATATACTGTTTTTGGGAGATTTTTGTGTAACATTGGGATGGTTTATATGGTATTCGAATGCATCTCCCTAAGCTTTAACATATAGATTTAAGTATTCTAGGTTATGGTCTAATCCGTGAATTAATGATTCAGTCAGATAAACACAATTTTTTGATCCACATAGGTACATGATTATCGGATATTTATAATACTTTCATTTTTAGTAGGACACTGTATACATATAGGTTATCTTTATTTATAAATAGCTCTAAACTAATTATATTCATGCAATACATTATAAAAACATTAAAGTCATATTAAAATTCATTTATATCGAATTTGCCGTTCAAACTGTTTATACAAAAATATGAAAATAATGCATTTAATATTATATGTTTTTATGTACATTTCATGTAATTTGGTTAATTTAATACAAAGTCGTAATAGTTCATCGTTAACACCATGTCAAACACCAGAAATATGTTCAACAGTAAGATGCGCATTGCCTTTTTGTAAACCAGGTACGATAGCGAAGACGTTGCCTTGCAAATGTTGTCCTGAATGTGTTCCAGATGACAACGAACAGCCTCAGTGCGCAGCAGTACAATGTACTAGACCCGAATGTCAACAATGGCAGAAGCTTGTCGTACCTCCTGCTCAATGTTGTCCAATATGTAAGCCTAGCCAATGCCAAAAACCGGAATTATGTACAAAGATCTTATGTCCCAGACCTCTTTGTAAAAAAGGTGAAGTAGCAAAAAAATTTCCATGCAATTGTTGTCCTGTCTGTGTTTCAGAGGATTGCCTAACTCCCAGTGATTGCCAATCATACGACTGTGCATTTCCACAATGCCCTCGTGGCCAGGTAGCAAAAACTTTGCCTTGCAAATGTTGTCCACAATGCGTCCCACATGTTAATTGTAAGAAACCACAAAATTGTCCAAAAGTATTATGCGCGAAAACAAAATGTAAGCCTTGGCAAAAGGTGGTCACTCCTCCATGTGAATGTTGTCCAAGATGTGAACCAACTGAATGTCAAGAATCTGCTTGTCAAAAAGGAGAAGTAGCAAAAATACTTCCAGGTAGTTATTGTCCGAGTTGCGTACCCGATAATTGTCAGACATCTGAAGATTGTAGGTTGGTGAAATGCGCAATGCCTATCTGCGCGAAAGGGTTGGTGGCTAAAAAACTACCATGTCAATGTTGTTACCAATGTGTACCTAAGGAATGTTTAGGCGAAGAAGATTGTGCTCGTGCTTTATGTGTTAAACCAGTTTGTAAACCTTGGGATATTCTCATAACTCCGAGGTGTAAATGCTGCCCAATCTGTACGCCTTTACTAGATAAAAAATAACAACTATCTATAAATAATATTTTTTTTTATATTTATACATTTATAATAATATATTATATAGTCCTAATAAAAATTAAGTTTTGTTTAAAAAAGTTCTTTCAATTATTCATTTATTGTTTTACTAGGTATGCAGTAAAAGACATTTGTGGCTCAAGAGCGAATGTGATGACTATATCGCACAATAATCCACTCGAGTTGTGCAATAAAATTTTTCAACGAACCACTTAAAAAAATATATAAAATTTCATTTGTTTTAAACGTTTTTTTTTTTTAATAAAATAAGTATTTTACACAAAGATAAATTATGCATTTTAATAATCGTATCAACCTTGTCTAGACACAAGAACAAGCTTTAAACCTTTTTGTGGGAATTTTTTAAGCTCTGTGTAGGATGGGTTACGATAAATGACAGATATTCTAGTAACTAAAGGATAATAATATAAATTTATTAATTGAGTGGAAGAGCAAAACTCTGATTTTTTTTAGAGATTTTGAACTCTGCCATTTGGCAAACTATTTGTATTTATATATATTTTTTTTTCTTTCTTTGTATTAGGTACTTAGTTTGGCCAATAAAAGCATTTATTATTATTATTATTATTATTATTATTATTATTATTATTATTATTATTATTATTATTATTATTATTATTATTATTATTATTATTATTATTATTATTATTATTATTATTATTATTATTATTATTATTATTATTATTATTATTATTATTATTATTATTATTATTATTATTATTATTATTATTATTATTATTATTATTATTATTATTATTATTATTATTATTATTATTATTATTATTATTATTATTATTATTATTATTTAATAAGTAGATAAGATAAAAATTAAAAATAAAATATATATAAAAACACAGGTTGTTAAAGGAGAGGAATAAACGACGATGAAGGACATTATGAATAAAAGTAAGAGCAATAATATTTTCGAGAATAAATATAAAAAATCAAAGCACAAAACACTGTGACGAAGTCACAAAATTTTATTTTCAATTCATTTTAAAAATGTATATTTTAATTAATTTCCGTGAAGGTACGCTTTAAAGACAAGACTTTGGGATGCTTAATTATTTATATTATAGTAATTAATTATTTAAATTTTTCTATTATTAATTATTATTGAATATTTATTTCCACACTGTATTCATATTATCATTTTTTTTTGTTCATAACAAAACTAATTACTAATAATTATTATAAGACGTGCTAATCATATTAAATATAATATAAAAGCATTTAAACTCTCACGAAAAATCATTTGTTTTAAGATTGTTGTCGACAAATTATATCAAATTATGAAAACCAGCTATTTAGCATTCGTTTTTATGTACAGTGCGTGCAATTTGATTAATTTTATTGAAAGTAATCCTCAAAAACCCTGTAATTGCGCAGCGGTGCAATGTTTGGCACCAAAATGTCATCCATGGCAGAATGTCGTTGTACCCTCTGGACAATGCTGTCCAATATGTGAACCAAGTGAATGTCAAAAACCTGAAGAATGTCCTTTAACATTATGTGCTCCACCCAATTGTGATAAAAATCAAGTGCCAAAGAAATTACCTTGCAATTGTTGCCTGGTTTGTGTGCCTAAAGATTGTCAGACACCTGAAGATTGTATGCTAGTGCGATGCGCAATGCCGGTATGTAAGAAAGGATTGGTACCTAAAAAACTACCATGCAAATGTTGTCACCAATGCGTACCTAAGAACTGTTTAGGGGAAAAAGAGTGTGCCCATACTTCTTGTCTCAAACCAGTTTGTCATCCTTGGGAAATTCTCATAACTCCCAAATGCCAATGCTGTCCAATCTGTATGTCATTACCAGATAAATAAAATTGTTCTTTAATTTTTTTTTTACTTTTACAACAAAATATTGTCTGTTGATTTAAAAATATAATGTAATTCCCATAATAGTTTTTTTTATTTTTTACTTTTGTTTTGATTCCGAACAAAAAAATGAAGTGGACTGCTCTGAGAAACTAGTTCTCGTGGCGTTTAATTGTTTTATATTGTAAATATAAATTGTAATTTATAAATTTATAAAGGTATTTCAAGTGGGAAAAGACAACTCCCGTGAGACTTGAGATTTCAAACGCATGTGAAAAGAAGGCTTAATGTACTAATACTGGGTGTCCCGAAATTAGACGGTCATATTTTAACAGCGTAATCTATAATATAAAATAAGAGTAAAAGTTTTTATAAACATAGGCCTGAAAACGTTTCTTTTCCGAGATGCAGGGTGTTAAAAGTGAATTCCTGATGACACGCTTTTGTAAATATTTTCTAAACGTTTAACCCCTTACCGTATAATGTGCCATATTTGGCACACGTTCAAAATTATTATTTTTTTCGAGGAGTTTGTGCTGTCAACTCAAGTTGTCCCATATCTGGCACACTCGCTTGTTCACAGGCAGCCGCTAAATCCCCTCCACTATCGTACACGCAAATTTGATGAATCATTTAGTGAATATCTGGCTGGTGACAGGCGCTAGCTTGTTTGGGGCAAATTCAAAATAGAATATGTTTGTTCTTTTGGCCTAATTTGTGTGGAAAAAATAAATTTTATGAGGGTAAGTATTTACTGTGATGACTAAAGTCGTACAAAACTTTTTTCTATATAAAAACGAAAAAAAAAATCTATGTTTACTTGTGCCATATTTGGAACAATATGAGATAAAGATAATATTTTTGTAATGGATTTTTTGTTTTTCAGATGAATACCAAGAAGTTCTATGGAACAAAAAAAGTACAAATTCCAATGACTAATGGGAGTGACAATGAGAATTTATCTTCCGATGATGACCATTGAAAGAATGAACTAATAAGTCTCATAAAACCTACAAAAATTTTGTGTAAGTCATCAGATAGTGAAAACAATGCTTCATCAACTAAAGATGTAATTATCGACGAAACTGACAGTGACAGCGAATACGAACTACAGGCTCTAGATTACGGCAATCTAATCAAGATAAGCATAGTGACATAAATGTTCCCTCGACATCTAAATCTCATAGTGATACAAATTTACCATCGACTAGCAAAAAATGTAAACAATCACAACACAAAAAAATGGGAAAAGAAGTTGTCTGGCAGAATAGGTTCCTTGCTGTTACTGAAGAATTTGTGAAATTCAAAGAACTGGAAGATCCCATTCAGTTTTTCATTTTTTTTTCACCGACGAAATTTTTACTTATATAGCTGAACAGTCAAACTTTTTTGGTGTACAAAGTAGGCCTGAAAAACCGCCCAATATATCCAAAGAAGAACTTCGCATTTTTTTGCGGTATTTGCATATTATACATGTCAATTATTTAACTCCCTTCAACCAGGTCCTACTGGAACCAATCGTTAGATATTCCCTGCATCTCACGTGCTATGACCTGCAATAGATTTGAAGAAATCAAACGATTTCTTCACTTCAATGACAACACACGCCAGATTCCTCAAGAGCAGCCAGGTTATGATAAGATACGTCCATTGCTAAATAAAATTCGCGAACGTTTCTTACTTGTTCCTGAAGAGGAGCATATGGCTGTGGATGAACAAATTATTCCGACAAAAGCTCAATTAAGTCTCAAACAATATAATCCCAAGAAAACTCATAAATGGGGATACAAAGTTTTTGTTCTAAGTGGAGTATCTGGATTTTCTTACGATTTCGACTTTTATTGTGGAGCTACTACTCTTGAAAATAATCAACCAAATCTAGGAGCAAACAGCAATGTTGTTGTAAAACTTTTAGAATCAATTCCAAGAAATCTAAACTACAAATTATTTTTTGGTTTACGAGCATTCCTCTACAAATATACCTCACCAAAAATGGTATTTTACCTTTGGGGACAGTAAGAGGAAATCATGTGCATAATTTCGAATTCCCTAAGGAAGCAGCTATAAAAAAAAAGGGAGAGGTACAGTAATTGAAGCAATGGCCAATGTAGATGGTGTGGACATATCTGTTGTTTCATGGTTTGATAACAAAATTATGAACACCATGTCAACATATGTTGGGAGTCGATAGTAGACAGATTCTGCAGGAAATCTAGGACACATAGAAATCACCCGCCCTCAATGTGTTGCGGTATATAATGCTTATATGGGGGGAGTAGATCTTCTCGATTCTATGTTAGGATATCACCGAATCCAAATTCGATACATGAGGGTATTTTTCCATTTCCTGGATATTAAATGTGTCAATAGCTGGATACTGTGGAGGCGAATCCTAAAAAATAATGATTTATACCTACCACTTTCAGAATTCAAACTTGGTATCGCAGAAGTTTTGACCAGAGCTTATAGTTTAGAAAGAAAAAGGGAAAGACCAAGTACCTACCAGCTTATAACCTCAACTGGATCTCAAAAAAAAAAGAAATATCCTTTTTTGCAGATTCTAGCCCAGGAAATAAGAACGGACAACTTGAATCATTTACCAAAAGTAAGTGAAGAACGACAGTGGTGCAAATATTCAGATTGTAAGAGAAAATCCCAGATATTATGTAGCAAATATTCAGTATTTTTATGTCTAAATAAGGATCGCAATTGTTTTAGCAAATTTCACACGGAATAGGGCAAGATTTTCACTCTTTTGTTGAGATAAAAATCTATTTGACACAAGTCAAAGTTTGACATTTATTTCCTTTAAATATCGATAAATATTTTTTTCACTATTTTTTCATAACTCCTAATCAATTATTCTAACGCATATATTTTTTTGACAAAAAAATAAAAAATCATGCAGTAAGAGGTTAAAGATAACTAAGTCAAATTTGGTTCAAATCATCTTCATAGGTGGGTAAATTAGGGGGGCTTAGGGTAAAATATAAATATAATAAAGCTACTTTTGTTGCATCTCGCCAGGACGCACTATTTTCAAGAGAAAAGCATTTCAAAATTTCATGATAATTTGATGTTGTCTTATTCGAAAGTGTAAACAATAATTAGTAGGCTTGTGAAATCAAAGATTTTATTTTCTTTTAACTTTGCAAAACCGGTAACTAAAGAAGTTTTAGAAAATATTTACAAAAATGTGCCATCAGGACTTCACTTGTAACACCCTGTATCTCAAAAACGAAACGTTTTCGGACCTATGTTTACATGAACTTTTACTCCTATTTTAAGATGTAGATTATGCTGTTAAAATATGACCGTCTAATTTCGGGACACCCTGTATAATGTAATAATATATATTATCGGTTGGCGATACTCGTACTGTCTTCTGCCTTTTCTTTAAAAGTTACGATACGTGCTGTTTTGGATAAAAGGACAAAAATGGAGAAGTAAAACCATAGGCGGACCATAAAGTTTTAGGAATAGGTTCATCAAATATATAATATTTATGTAAAAAAATAAAATCAAATTTGACGAGAAAAACCTATTTGGATACAATTATAAATACATTTTTATCTTTTCTAAAAATAGGATCGTGATGATCCAACTGTACTTTATACAATTTGAAATAATTTTTTATTAATTATTAGTACAATTGCGTGTACGTAAAGCTACCACATGGGCTCAAAATAAATTGAAACCAAATTTCATAATACGCTAACTTGCTTCGTTTGGCCGCTAGAGGTCAACAAAAATAAATAAAAATGATTTTTCTTCAATTTTCAGAATTCGGCTATTTTAAAAGAGCAAACTTGGCAACAAAATGGTGTTTTTTATGGCCAATTAAAAGCAGCTAGAATAATTTTTCTATTTTCTATTTTCAAAGCTTAAAATCCGCAGAGATCGCCAAAAGAAGGCTAGAGTTCCACATCAATAAAAGGTTAATGCCCTGTTTAGATGAGAACAAAATGAGGCAGAGTGCTGGGAAGACTGAAACCATATTGCTCACTAAGCATAGAAATGAATAACAATAAACTTAAGGGTAGGTAGCGAAAGGGTTGAGGTCAAATCATCGAGTTAGTAGGGAGAGGAGATGACATACCATACAACTGTTGTGGTACCATGGTGTAAAAAACGTATTTCTACTAGACTAACATTATGATGGGGGGGGGGGGGGGGGGTGGCTTAGTGGTAGAGTCTCTGCCTGTGGATCCAAGGGTCTCAGGTTCGAATTCCACCGTTGGCCGGGATTTTTTTATTTAATTTAATTATTTAAAATTAATTATGATGCCTTGGTAGGATTCCCCACTCGACCATTCACTGTTGGGTTCTGATTAACAGTGCTGTTCCTGAAGTGGCGCTGGGAAACAGTAACAAAGCCTACACAGAACACACATGATTGAGAATTTTAAAACACAAACTTGAGACTGGCATATTAGGTATATACACCTAGGCCATAAATCGAAAAAAAAAAAAACATTATGATGGTAACAAGATGGTGCCATAAGTAGGTCCGGACTTTTTTGGGTTTTTAAAGTAATCGTAGTAATTCAATGAATACTTAAGATATATTAAATACAAATTAAATCATAACAGAAAATTTCTATCAATATTTATATGGAGTTTTTTAATTTGCAGATATTTATATGAGCAGTTAGGATACCCGCAATTATAGATAACATTTAAAATATATTTTTCAAATACAAAATGAATAAGATAGTTATTGTAATAATTGGCATTATTATTGGAAAATATAAAGAATTCACCAAAAATTCTAAAAAAATATTTTAGTGTTTTAAATTAGAAATTAAAAAGGAACACACATATGAAAATAAAACAAACAATCAGGTTATTAATCTAGTCCATGGCTATATTATTGACATTTTTAAAAATACAACCATCACGTAAATTATGGTTTATATAGAGAGGAAAGAGAAAGAAAGGACTATCGAGTGCGGACTAAGGTCCAGAACTTTCGCTGTGGGCGAAAGCTCTCGTTTTTAGGGACTCTTTAAGTCCCAAAACAAAGTAATGTGTAGAGTTAAGTTTTTGTGCAGCGATTTGTGAATTATATTATGTAAATATCTTTAACTTAATTTTAAAGTGTTTTGTTTGATAATAATTAATTGATTTACATATAAATGCCAATTTTACATTTCCGTTCCCGAATAATCATATTTATTTTATACATAGTTTTATATTATTATGTAGTTAAAGTTTTGCAGTGCTATTTATAATTGTTAATAAGTCCAAACTGTATAGTTCAATGAAATGTTTATCTAGTGTCATAATTCTTTATTTAAAGTTTGGATATATTAACAAGTAGTGCTTTATTCCCTAAATGTAATTTTATTCATTCTTTCTTAAGACCATTAGTCAAATTTTGTCCTTATTTTAAATATACATTTGTTAATGTTTTAATACTTATTATTAATCTCCCCTCCTTTCCAAACCAGTATAATATTCCGAGCATTTGAGAAGCCTAGGCGTTTCTATTCCCTTAGGACTAAAAGAGTCTAAAACTAGTTGCCAAGAACCGCTCGACTATGCTATTAAGGGATAATTTTGTTCTTTTAATTTAATTTTTTTATTTGTTTTATTTGCCACTGGTGAATAGATGTTCCTTCTGGACTCCAGGACCCTTTGGCTGGTGACAGTGCTGCCCTAATCCCTTAATAGTATATTAATAATAGTAGCTAAACACCTATAAGTAGTTACAAATGGTTTTTAGGATAGTTGGTTGTTACATTTGGTGACAAGCGGTGGTCCTCTAGTAAAGTTGGTTATTACATTTATTTTGATGACGAGCGTTGGTCCTTTAGACAGTTGGTTGTTACATTTGGTGACAATCAACTTTAGAAAGTTGGTTGTTACATTATGCCTAATTAAAAAAAAAATAGACAGTTGGTTTTTACATTTGGTGACAACCAACTTTAGAAAGTTGGTTGTTACATTATGCCTAATTAAAAAAAAAAACTATATTATTCTAATAGGCATTTATTTCCTTAAATAAAAATATAATAACCAAAATTTAAAAAGTGTTTATTTTCCTTAAGACATTCACAAAAATGTAATGAATAATTCATAAAGCATTAATGCTAAATATTATTAAACTAATAATAAAACTATTTTCAAATAAGAATAAATAGATAAACAGTTCCTATCAGCATGGGTCTGCAGATGCTTTTTTCAAAAATGTAGTGTTTCAATTTTACAATCAATAAAAAAAAAAGAGGGATATTTGAAAAACAATCAATAGTATCAAAAACTATAACAAATCAAAAATGGTGAAACTAGCACACTATATTTTTTATGGATATAATATTAGCTTGATATTTAAAAGCGTTTGATAAAATTGTAACTCCTAAACGGAGCCGAAATTAAACGGTTCATTTTATTATTGTCATTTAAATTTTATTATTATTATTATTATTATTATTATTATTATTATTATTATTATTATTATTATTATTATTTTTTTTTGTGTCATCGGCATCAACTGCTATGGTTATTAGCCTCGTGTTCTGTGTAGGCTTTGTTACTGTTTCCCAGCGCCACTTCAGGAACAGCACTGTTAATTAGAACCCAACAGTGAATGGTCGAGTGGGGAATCCTACCAAGTATTATTATTATTATTATTATTATTATATTATTATTATTATTATTATTATTATTATTATTATTATTATTATTATTATTATTATTATTATTATTATTTATTATTATTATTATTATTATTATTATTATTATTATTATTATTATTATTATTATTATTATTATTATTATTATTATTATTATTATTATTATTATTATTATTATTATTATTATTATTATTATTATTATTATTATTATTATTATTATTATTATTATTATTATTATTATTATTATTATTATTATTATTATTATTATTATTATTATTATTATTATTATTATTATTATTATTATTATTATTATTATTATTATTATTATTATTATTATTATTATTATTATTATTATTATTATTATTATTATTATTATTATTATTATTATTATTATTATTATTATTATTATTATTATTATTATTATTATTATTATTATTATTATTATTATTATTATATTATTATTATTATTATTATTATTATTATTATTATTATTATTATTATTATTATTATTATTATTATTATTATTATTATTATTATTATTATTATTATTATTATTATTATTATTATTATTATACATTGAAAAAGGCTGAGAACATAAGTCTTATGATAGCCTAAAAACAAAATAGAAAATTGGAATAAAGTAAACACAGTGAGAAAAAGAAGAGAACACAAACACTCGTCTAACTTATTTTAAAATAAGTTAACTGTTATGGCTCCAACAACTTCGTCACTAAGATCATTCTATATATTAAATACCCGGTTGGAAAGGAATGATTGTGCTTCGTTTTCAGGTTTTCTTTTTTTAAGTTTTGTTAATGACCACGTAGACGATAGTCAGTATATATTTAACATAAAAATGTTACTAAGATTTCTGTAGTTATATTTAAGTATTCTAAAAGTTCGAATCAAATCCCCTTATAGTCGACGACACAGAACACTTACACCTAGAACGGTTACTCCTATGTTAGAATTTCAGCGCCACCTGGCGGACGTGGTAGATTTTTTCAAATAAGTCCTTGTCGGGTAGAAGGCCATTATCTTGAACACTAAATACCAATAATCTCTATGTAAAAACGGTATCCATTTAGTCAGTTTTTCCGAATATTTTTGAAAATAAGTAATAATGTTTAGATAATTATATATATTTTTTTCAATATGGATCTATTCACTAAATTATATTATGTTATTCCATACTTTCATAGCTATTTTTTATAATTTTTCAATTTCTACACGAACTTGACGTGTATAATGTGGTAAAGCACAAGATAACAGATAACATTATGTTCTCAAGTACTCTCAACTAACACTATATAAAAATGAAACGAAGGTAAGAAATACCACAAAAATTATCAGCAAATGTCATTAATGACATTAGGATGGTAACAATATGGCACAGGTGATATCGCTTCAGTACTCCAATAGCGACTTCTCTCCCTACTACCTCCATGGGTCAAACACTGCATTAAGTATCTAGGTTTTATTCTGAATAGGCGGTTGGTTGACTCAATAAAAACATTAACGATAGAGTAGCCAAAGCAGCATTCACGCTAAAAACATTTTACCCGATACTGCACAGAAGCAGTAAGACAGACTACTTCTATATAAACAGGTTATTCAACCAATACTGACATATGGATGTCCTGTCTTCAAAGGAATCTCGAAAAAATCAAAACAAGTGCCTGAGACTAGCTCTAAGGTGAAATCGTTACAGCAGAATAATAGATATGCGAGCACAAACAGATATACCTTCTATTAATGAATAAATCATGCAAACCTTAGAAGGGATTCATCAGCATCGTCTTCCAGACTATTTAAAGGATAGCATAGTGGAAGGCAATAATAGTGCTAATCAAAGATAAAAAAACTTCATTTACAGACATCGTATTGTCGAGTAAAAATCAAACGAAAAGACCCTTATACAGTGATGAGTTACTGACAACACAGCTCACCGCAGCTGGTTTTATAGTTTTATATATGCCAGCTCAAAAGACATGATTGGTCGGCCGTTCCAATAGAAACCAAGTGTTCCTTTGAGTTTTGGTTGGACGAATTAGTAAATCATGACGTCATTGAGTTAGGCAAAAAGCATGAAAACATACGTACAGATTTTCCCAAATTCACCAGAAACTTTTAATGTCTAATCCTCTAACCCACTGAATTTGTTTTTATTAATTTTAGATGTACTTGTAAATAATTAATAACAAATATTTCAACTGAACAGAATCTGCGTCTGATTACAGGCATTCTGACTGGTCATTGCTAAGTACGTAAGCAGCTCTATAGAGTGGGGCTATAATTTTTAAAAAAATTTGTGTATCGGCTAACACCGGCCAATATAAGAGAAATCTGTAAGCTGGCTGACGGGCTACGTAGGAGGATGAACAATGGGCTTAGTAAGACCTCATTGTTATGGAAACCACGAATCTTCTTAGATATATTCTAACCAACTCTAACACTAATTTTTTAAAAATGCATTGGCTCTTTAATAGAAATAGGATTTTCTGTTAACCTCTACGAATTAACATATTCAGAAAGACAAAATCAAGTCTCATTAGAGAAAAAACTGTGTTAAAGATGTCTTCATTGTTTAGATTGTTTTGAAACCATTCGTCTTGGAGAAAACTCATGATAACATTGGAGCTTGCATGAATGACAGTGTATCTTTTTTAGAATGAGTTGGCATATGAGATAAGATTTAATTGTTGGGCCACTACTGAAATCGATGTTTATGAACTTCCATCAATAACCTGCCGAACGGATCTATATCTTCAAGAAAATCAGCCATGTATTATGAAATTGGCTACAGTACAAACACAATACATTTAAATTTCACAACAGTTCAATTTGTAAAGATAAATAAAATGTTTTAGAATAAAAAAACACGTGTTTGTAAACACAATGATTAATATAATCATATTTAGACATTATGCAACTAAAAAAGATATAAAATAAAGATATATCTTCCATAAATCGAGAACAACTGTTTAAGGTCAAAGAAAAACAATTTGCATCGGTTAATTTCCAATAAATTATTTATAAGATTTCCAGTTATATAAAAGCTGGGCAAATCAAAATAAACATATTATTTCATTAAAAATTCCCATCAAGCATATATATAATTTCAAGATGAAATTGTTGTTAATTTTCGCTATCGTTCTATATTTTTCTTCGGAAATTTTGGGCGCTGGTAATTGTCCTCCTGATGATTGTAAGAGTATCGCTTGTGGAGTTCCAAATTGTGAGGGCGAGTTTCATTTAAAGAAAGATCCTTGTCTGTGTTGTCCTGCATGTTACAAAGTTAAAAGTAAGTGATTTTTATTCATTTTCATTTAAATTCGGATGTAGAGGATAAATAGTATTTTACTTAATCGATTTTAATTTCGATTAACCCCACGTTAACAATGTAATAGAAAATGTCCCATATTATTTGGAAAATTAGATGATATTTCAACAATAAACATAAGAGCTTTCTTGGATTAATTCATAATTCTATAGTCGAATGAAATAATTTATTCTCAGATTAATTCTTATAACTCTTAAAATACAAGATTATGCTTACTTCACTTAACATTTATTTTCTTATTGTATTGATAAATATTATTTGAAGCAAACTCTGCTTTATTTCAAACAAATGTAATCTTCCAAGTCTAAAGCTTTTCTTGAATGTAGATGATAATTTTTTTCTGTGTAGTATTAAAGTAATTCATTTATTTTACCAATCTCAACAAAAAGATAACAGTTCTCGTATATAGTTTTAATCGCAAAAGTCGATCGATTTAAATGACTGTCAATTAAAAAATGTTATCTTTAGGATTTTTGTATCTTCAAAATTGTAATCATTTCATCGACGCATCGTAATTTTGTTAATCTTACCCTTGTACCGACCTATCTCGTTAACTTCATGTCTAGGTAAAATCTTTAAAAAAAATGATAAACATTGGATTTACCTGGATGTTAGAATCAAGAGCTCTCCTATCAAAATGACAGGTCAGCCGTCGTCGAAATCACTCTGCAGTAGACGAATTGGTTGCATTGCTTTCAAACATCGAGAACATTTTGTCGCAGTTATGTTGGATTTTCAAAAAGCTTATGACACAATTTGGAAATATGCAGTATCTAAACAACTACATACTTGGGGATTTCGAGGAACCCTACTTACTGTACTCGTCCAGAATCGACAGTTTTATATTAAAGCCAGGACTCCTGAGAGAAACCACTAGAAAACGGGATACCACAGGAATCTATTCTTCGCGTTAGTCTCTTCTCTATTGCCACTAACTCTCTCTTCCAAGATTTTCCCGAGAATATTGAAGCAGTAGCGTTGTAGATGATTTGACTATTTACATCCGTTAGTTGAAACTCTTCAAACAGAAATTAGAAAGCTGTAATCAGTCGCAAAATTTTTGGGATTGAAATTTTCTGCCTCAAAATCTCATGTTTTTTATTGCCGCCATCTCAGGTCTTCGCATCCAGAACCGCAACTGTACCTACAAATTACAGAAATAGCTATTAAAGATAATTCGAAACTATTAGGAGTCATATTTGACAAAAAACTTTACTGGGGCGACCACATCGAATATTTAGTAACAAAATATCAAAAATTATTAAATGTAATGAAATGCATGCAAGTATAAGATGGGGATTAGATAAAACAATTCTCGTCCAAATGTACCAAACGCTCATTCAATCGAGGATAGATTACGGAAGTATTATTTATGGAGAGGCTCGATCATCTATAATGAAAAAACTAGACAAAATTCAAAACGCAGCAATTAGACTAGCAACAGGATCGTTTAGAACTAGCCCATCAGTAGCGATACAATCTGAAGCACCGAATATTCCGCTTAAATTTCGGCGTGATATGCAATTAATTACATTCTCCACAAAGATCCAATCTTTACCTTAAAATCTAAACTATAATCTATTTATGGAAGAAGAAGATAACGCATTTAAACCTTCATCAAATAAACCAACAAATATAAGATATAAAGAACTTTTCTTAAAATAACATGAACTATATACTATGTTAAAGGTAATATTAAACGATCAAATTATAGCTTCGTGGATAACAATTCTTCCTCTAGTTGATATGACTCGCTCTAAATGGAAAAAGATACCACTTCACCTTCAACTTACAGAAAAACGTTTACGGAAAGAATATCCTACTACTGTAATCATTTAACGGATCTAAAACTAGTAAAGGAATGGGAGCAGCAGTTGAAGTTAACGAGCAGTCTTACTCATGGACATTAAATCTGGAATATAGTGTCTATAACGCTGAACTATATCCAATATGCCAAACACTATTATTGTGTGTTCACAATAATAACAAGAAATGCCTAATTTGTACAGATTCCCTAAGTGCTGTTTTATTAATAATATACCGTTTTTCTTTCAATGAGTGGGTTATAAAAAATGTTTAAACTCACGACAGACTTAGCTTTACATGACGCAAGAGTCACAATTATGTGGATACTCGGTCACTTGAACATTGCAGGTAACGAACTTGCAGACTCCACAGCGCGACAAGCAACAAACTCAGACGTGATGACGGAATTCCCGTATCCTTTGCAGATATAAAATACTTCGTAAAAGAGAAAATTGGAAACAAATAGCAATACGAGTGGGAACAGTATGAAGGGCAACTAAGAAGCATTTAAACCAGCACAAAAAATGACATTACCCTAAACACTTAACTAGGCGGGAACAAGTGGCATTGTGCCGAATGGGAATAGAGCATATAAATAGCATTCACCTATATCTCCATTCTGGCTCTGCAAGACCCATTGAAGAAACCGTCTCACAATAAATCACATCCTTAGCTATGGGCAAGACACACATCAGAGACATGCAAACATCACCTGAAATGGAAACCGCGCTAAAAAACAAGGACGAGAAAATTAAAAAATTATTTGCTTGAAAGATACAAATCTGTTTTTAAAACTTTAAGGCTACGTTGGAGCGAATAACCGCAGCAGTTGAAGCTCCAAAAATAAAAAATAATAATAATAATAATAATAATAATAATAATAATAATAATAATAATAATAATAATAATAATAATAATAATAATAATAATAATAATAAATAATAATAATAATAATAATAATAATAATAATAATAATAATAATAATAATAATAATAATAATAATAATAATAATAATAATAATAATAATAATAATAATAATAATAATAATAATAATAATAATAATAATAATAATAATAATAATAATAATAATAATAATAATAATAATAATAATAATAATAATAATAATAATAATAATAATAATAATAATAATAATAATAATAATAATAATAATAATAATAATAATAATAATAATAATAATAATAATAATAATAATAATAATAATAATAATAATAATAATAATAATAATAATAATAATAATAATAATAATAATAATAATAATAATAATAATAATAATAATAATAATAATAATAATAATAATAATAATAATAATAATAATAATAATAATAATAATAATAATAATAATAATAATAATAATAATAATAATAATAATAATAATAATAATAATAATAATAATAATAATAATAATAATAATAATAATAATAATAATAATAATAATAATAATAATAATAATAATAATAATAATAATAATAATAATAATAATAATAATAATAATAATAATAATAATAATAATAATAATAATAATAATAATAATAATAATAATAATAATAATAATAATAATAATAATAATAATAATAATAATAATAATAATAATAATAATAATAATAATAATAATAATAATAATAATGTTTTGAACGAGCTAAAAATATAGATATTTTGTGTGTGTGTGTGTGTGTGTGTGTGTTTGTGTGTGTGTGTGGTGTGTGTGTGGTGTGTGTGTGTGGTGTGTGTGTGGTGTGTGTGTGGTGTGTGTGTGGTGTGTGTGTGGTGTGTGCGTGGTGTGTGTGCGTGGTGTGTGTGACTGTGTGTCGCATAATTCATGAACCGATACACAGAAAAACACCAAATTTTAAACTTAAGGTTTGTTCCAGCGTCCAATGAACTGATTAGATTTTGAGCAGAGTCGGAACATATGGGGGGGTACTTTATAGGTGATCATTTTTATATTTCATGGAATATATCTGTTATTTACGTTTGGGGAGGAAAATTCTTTAAATAAAAGTTACTTCTTTTATTATTATCTATAATTTTTGTTCCTAAAATGGTCCGTATTCTAGGAATTTGACAAAATGTAAAAAAATATTTTTTATAAAAATTCTTTAAATAAAAGGTGTTTGTAATATAATTCTCTATAATTGTTGTTTTATACATAATTTCTCTAAAATGGACCGTATTCCAGATATTTGAGAAAATGTGTAAATTTCGAATTTTGAAGAAAACTCAAAAACGGATAAAGAAAAAAACATTAAATTTTAAATTTAAGTTTTATTTCGGTCTGACATATTAATTACATTTTGGACAAAATCGGATCATCTGGGGGGGTACTTTATGGGAGGCTGTTTTTATATTTTATGGAATATATCTGTTATTAATGTTTGGAGAAGAAAATTGTTCAAATAAAAGTTACTTCTAATATTATTATCTATAATTTCCTGAAATGGTCCGTATTCGAGAAATTTGACAAAATGTGCAAAATTCTGATTTTTATGAAAATTGTTGAACTAAAAGTTGTTTGCGATATCGATCTCTATAATTTTTGTTTATACATGATTTTTATAAAATGGACCGTAATGAAAAAATTGGAGAAAATTTAAATTTTTCAGTATTTTCGTTTTCAATGAATATCTATAGAAAAATGTTTCGAGGTAGATGTATGTGGACAATGTATATATTTAGATTTTTATTATTCTTTTCTGGAGAATCTCTAAGGGATTTATATGGGTACGTGCTGCTGCATCGCAAACCGGTATTCCGTATCTCAGATGGCTCTCCACAAGTAAAAAATATAATTGTTTTAGTATTTTAGTTGGCAAAAACTCTTTTAAATGTCTAAACACTTAAATAATATTTTGTAATTTCTTTACTACATAATAATTGACATATTGATCCCACCTTAGATGAGAGTCCAAGTAAATACCTAAATATTTTATTTCTGTTTACATAAGATGTATATTTTAGCGCTTTCAGATATTCATCTTCTCTTGTATTAAAATAATGACCTAGAGAATATTTTAATCTCACCTTAGGAATTTCCCATCATTATAAATACTAAATAAACAAATATGTATTACTAAGTCAACTATATTATATAATTTTCAATTTAGTAAGAACAATGTCTTTAGAACGACAATTAATAATATTCAGTGTTGTCTTTTGTGGACTTACTATTCCGAATAGTCAGGCTATAAATTTTTCTGAAGAATTTCATCCTGATCCTATAGAGTATACCAGGTGTTCTCCATATTATTGTTCAAACAAATTTTTTGTCTGTGAACCAATAAGTTGTACAAAGGATCAAATAGAAACTTCTGTACCTGAATGGTGCATATGTTGTTCGAAATGTTTCAAAAAGTTATGTAAGTAAAAAATAAGGGTTTTTATAAAAATCTTGATTATTTCCTAAACTATTTCATCTTTCGCCTTAATAATTGTTTTTTAATTGAATTAAATTCAATTTCGTTCAGTTTTAATTTACTAGTCTGTAGGTATTCAGCCGCTCCCGAATACTTGTCATTCTAGAAACTTTCCCTCTTTCTCTTTCCCAATTTATTTATTTTTTTAAATTGTTGCATTGTGCATATAAATTCGAATATTGTTATATTTCTTTTTTTTTGTAGAAATGTACTTTAACAAAAAAATATTGTTTCAGATAAGGGTGACGTATGCGGAAATGACAAAGACAGCATATGCGATGACGGCCTCAAATGTGTCAACAACAAATGTGAATAGTTTGCTTTGATTTTGGTTTTGTTCTAAGAGTAATTTACTGACGTATTATTATAAAAATCCTGCTTCTTTAGGGTGATATTTTTGTTAATAAAATAATGCTGTAGTCAGAAAAATGTAAAATTTGCGTTTTAAGTAGTTGTTGTTTTAATAAAGCATTACAAATTATCTTTTTTAATTTTATTTTATATTTGCGAAATGTCTAAATCTCATAGAACTTAATTTACAAAACAAAATTTAAAAATGGTAAATTTTATTATATTTATGCAAAGTATAAGTTTAACCTACCTAATATTATACAAAGACCACTGCATTCAAGAATTTGGGTTACCGAAATGGTTAATGCACCCTTACTAATTAGGCATTCCAAACAAAATGGTTATCTCTGGGTTACGATATGGCAACCCTGTGGGCCTGGTAATTTAAGAGGGTCAATGATATAGATAGTAATATAGATTGATCATCCATACTATTCAAAATAAACATAAGTTTATGCCTCGAAGTAAAAATATAGGTAATTATAGTTTTTACTATATTCAAAGGCTGAAAATTGGTTTTAAAACACATTTCGTCTAAACCGATTCTGATTAATGAGCACTTGGCATGTGGTCACTTGCAAAGTCTATGATACTATAAAAAAAGAAGGTATGATTAATACTACACGTCACAATGACGTAATATGGTGGAAGGCGTAGTTTTACGAATTAGACGTCTCAGCTGATCGAAAACAGCGCTCAGTTCATGGCCAATTAGATAACCAGATACCACACCACAATACGTCATGCGAGAACTCGACGAGATTTTGTCGGCTAAGTATTATACGTCTTTAATTTTTTGTTTTATGGTTAAAGCCGAACAGGCCCACAGGGTTACCATATTATAACCTGCCTAATTATAACTATGTATATAACTATCTGTATCATTGACCCTGTCAAATCACCAGGCCCACAAGGTTGCCATATCATAATCTGTCAATTATCCATATCTATTTCCGTCCTTGTCTCCATTGAATCACTGGAATCTATGTCATTATTGCTGTCTTCATCTAGTATCTTTACTTGCGATTTTTTCATAGCAGTTTTATTTTCATGTGGCATAGATTTATAGTACTCATGGTAAATGGGAGGTACAAATTGTTGAAATTGGTTTAGGTTTTCCTACTTTGCGTAAGTTATTTTCAAACCTTTCGGATATAAGTTTCTGTCCAAATCGGTAATTTTGACACTTGGTCTTCTTTTTATCAGCTTAGAACATTTTTAAATCGCAAAAAAGATATTAGGGAACTTCGCGTAGTATTAAACAAAAAAAAATCCTTCTTTTTATAGAAAAACCACACAATTTCATGCCGTTTAATAGGTTATATCACCAACTACTTTATAATGAATTTTTAAATACAATCTGACAAGTTAAAGTTTTTTTTATAGTCTAGTTACCTTGAGGAACAAAGTTTTCACTCATTTCCTTAATTATAGAGGATTTAAATCACGACAGAGACCAATATACACGATAACACACCACTGTGGCAAAACAAGTTTAAGTGTACTTTTTGACTAGAACAGACTACAATAACATGATTTTTTACCAGCTAAAAGATGTTGTTAAAACATCAAAAATCACTTCGATCGTTTTACCACCAACAAAATAGTACTTTTAAATAACGAAATATACACTTAACTAATTTTAAAAAGAAAATGTCGCTTGAACCCGTTTGCTTCTAACCCCTTAATTTGTTTAAAAAGTGCGACTCTAGCCAACTGAACTGCCATTCACCCCAATCAGCTCCTTAAGCATTACAAACAAAATGGTTCTATCTTAGATACTTACTGAATAATTTGTGTGTTTTTTGCCTTAATGAGCTTCTTTAATAGACTATCTATCATCATACAGGTGTATTTTTTGGATGTAAAAGGGCTACATAGCATTTTGTTAAAATATACTAAAATACTACAAATAATCATCTTCCGAAAACTGTTTTTAAATATATATTACTTAGATTTTACAACAACGAAAAAACTTTGCGCTCTAATTTCTTAATTTTTTTTTTTAATTTTACACTTAACCCTTTTGCTTCTAACTCCTTCAAATGTTAATGTTACTAAAAAGTACTAAATAATTTTCTCAATCTTCACACCGTCGCGTCGGCAGTTATGAACATAAGGGCTAGTTCGCTGATACTAATCTGGCACTATTCCAATAAGACTACACTACATAAACAACCTAGGTGAGCTTGGGTATTTTCCCAAGCTTGGGAAAATACGAAGCTTTCGGAGTGCCCATACACTCGTATTCCAGTTCCTTCTACGGTTTTGGAACCGCCCGTATACCAGTGAATAGCACATCTTTCGGTTGCAAGCGCGATGGATTCTTGGCTCCATTCTTTCTTGCAGCCCAGCTCTGTGGTTTTGAAGTTTTTCACAGAGTACTAAATAGTTATTTCTCAATCTTGCACTATTCCAATAAGACTACACTACATAAACAACCTAGGTGAGCTTGTATCGACTGCATCCCAGCAATTGTGAAGACGTCTTCTGTATATTCTCTAAAATTCTTTGTACAAGGTGTGCCTATAGTGCGTACACACGGAAAAAATTGTAGAACAAATTTCTACAATTATAGACTTTTTCTCTACAATAAATAGTACATATAGGGACAGGGACAATTTGTAGTAAAAATTTCCAAATAATTGTAGAGAATGTATTGTAGAGTTATTATCTACAATATGTAGTAAAAATATCCATACGTATCACAAGAATTGTTCTACAAATTGTTATAATTTTTGCTATTCATTATATGAATTTATATTAAAAATGTATTACGTTTCATGAAAATTAATATGAAAATTGAACACAATAAATAGTAAAAATTCAAATAAATTGTAGTAATGTTTAATAAAATTTGTAGTAGATATTATTCCACAATTATTATTAAAACCTAGAAAAAATGATCCTTAATAAAATAATTCATTGTTTTAATAAAAAAGATACAAAGTCTTAATTACATTATGTAATAAATAACAGTAATAATAGCTCCCTCAGTCTCAGTTGGTATTACTGCACCTGAAAAATATGAAATAAAAATTAATACCTATTGAACTGCTCATACTCATTAAACGGGGATATCTATAACCTTTACAATGATTGGGATATTAAATGACCACGTCAGAAAACTAAAAAAAAATGAGAATGTAGGAATGTCACAATTAAATCAAAAAAACATCATCAAACTTGGCACAACATTCGATCGTTGGCCATAACTATTTTTATTAAAATAATCTACTAAGGTTATTTAAATTAGTTATCTAAAGGTAAATTATTCAGAAATAATATTAAATGTACTTACCACTTATAGAAGTTATTATTAAAATTTTCTCGAACCATCACTGCTTATACGAGTAATATAATAATGTGTTATATATGTACCATGCTTTGTTTTGTGAACATGACGAATGACTACTGCTGTCTCACCATTTATGGTCGACGTCAGAAAATGTTGGCCAATAGCATAATTCTGTTTTATTCACATGACTTAGAATTTCTACAATATTATAGAATATTTTTCAACAAAATTGAATTTTTATTATAAGAAGGGATGTAAAGTATTACTATTTTATATAGAGAAAATTACTCTTTTTTAGTAGAGATAATTAATAATATTTGTACATATTTTTAGAGAAGTTAGTAGTAGTTATTACGATAATTGTAATAAATTTCTACTTCTACAAACAATAGTAAAATATACTAAATATTGTGGTCTTTTTTCATATTGTTGTAGCTTTTTATTCGACAATTCAATTGCTACAATAATGAATAGTTTTTAACTATAAATTATAATAACAATTTCTACAAAAAGTTAAGTATTTTTCTACAAGTCTACTACTACAATATTGTAGTAAAATTTTCTAGTAACATTTTTTTCCGTGTAATGTTCAATATTCCAATTTGTGTTATAAACAAGTTTCAAATAACAATTATATGGATTTGAAAAATACATGTTATAAAAATATTTTTGGATATACAGGGTGTGGCGTTTTTTCCCTGGAAAATAAAAATGTATGTTTTTTATTTTATTTTTAAAATGGTTTGGTAATACTGTATTGAACCCTAGAATGTTTTTAAAAAATATTCTAGTATTGCCATAGCATAAAATTTCTTATAAATTTGCCTATACAACGCTACCAATATGTTAGCCAATAACACATATTGTTTAATATAAAAGTTGTATGACCATATTTAACAATTATTTCTAAATATACAGGGTGGTCCATAAACGAGGTGCTTACCAAACCAATACTTTTTAAAAGCAGAACACCCTGGAGGTAGTTATACATATTTTATTGTTTTCACATCGTCAAACAATTTTAATTGTCTTCATTCATTTGCTATGTTGTATATAGGGTGTGTGAAAACATGAGGTTACGATTTACTCTATTTTTTAAATGGAATGCCCTATATAAATTAATTGGTTGTATATCATATAGAGTATTCCATTTAAAAAATTGAGTAAATCGTAACCCCGCATTTTGACACACCGTATATACAGCATAGCAAATAAATGAAGTCTATGAAAATTGTTTGACGATGTGAAAACAATCAAATATGTATAACTACCTGCAGGGTGTTTTACTTTATACATTTGGTCAGCAATTCGTTTATGGACCATCCTGTGTGATTAAGAATATTTGTTAAACATGGTCAGACAACTTTTATTAATTATTTATTTATTTATTAATTATATTTTATTAATAATAAAACAGCTATCGATCAATTACGCACTGTACATGTCAGAGCTGAGACGAATCCTAAAAAAATTGATTCGAATCACGAAACCGAATCACGGGATGTGATTCGAATCACGAATCCTTCGTCCGAATTCTTTTTGCAATAAAAAAGGATTCCAATCAAGTGATTCGAATCCATTTTTTCGGATACGAATCACTTTCAGTGTCATACCATGGTATTATGTATGCTTCCGAATCTAATATAGATAATAAAATAATCCTATTAAAACAGACGATCACTACTAAAGGAAAAATGCCTACTACAGTAACTATAAAATACTTTGAATATCAAAAGGAGGAGAAGAAGGTAATAAAAGCAATGCCTTTTACAATTCAAAAAGCGACCAAGGGGTCAGAGGTTACAGGATCAACAGATACCAATATAGGGGTGCTTTCATTTAAAATGGGTTACACGGTAGGTGCCTGGCGAAGAATAGACTGGGTATAAACACAATTTGAAATTCTATTTACCACCAATATCGTTATTCATTGATTATTTTTTCTTGGGCCAACCGATATCATTTTTGGCGAGTATTTATTATATAATCCATAAAATTGATTTATTTATATATAGTTTTGATGTCAAGATAAAGAGTTTATCATGTTTACTGACAGTAAATACATTTTAGTTATCGGGAATTTCCCGTTTACTTCGGATATTTGAAAAAACAATTATCTGTATAAAAAGTACACATAGAAAATCACCATTTTAATAATTACTTCCTTGCCGTTTAGCTCGGTTATTCGCTTAAAGTATTTTTAAATTTAAAATGAAGGTTATTCTGTCGTTTGCGGTTCTATTCGCCATTTATCACCATATAGATGGTTTTGCTTGTTTTCCATCATTTTGTGAACCAATGAAATGTCAAACTGAACTTGTGTGCAACGCAACAACTGAAATATTTGTTGAAAAGGGAAGTACTTGTAGATGTTGTGATGCCTGCTACCTAAAATTAAGTAAGTGTTTATTTTTTAGGTTAATGTGTAGTTTAATGCCTTCACGATTATAACTTGCAATGATAGTCTCATTCCTCATTTTTATAAAACGATAAAATTTTAATCGATATCAATAAGACAGGCGCTATTTTTTGGCAAAAACTGTGCAAAAACTACATGCACCGTTCAGTGGCGGCTCGTTGGTTTGAATGTAGGTGACGCGTTGAAAATAAAACACAAAAAAAATTTTTTTTTATATTTTTTGTACATAAGGTCGATTCTCCTCTCCTATAATCTTGCAAAATTATCTATTATATCATCAAAAAATGGCTCTGATCGTACAAATTCATTTAAAAGTGTCTTTTCAATTGAAATTTTTGCTAAATTGGTAAGTCGATCCTATGTTATTGTATTTCCTAGATATGTTTTAATTCGTTTTAGACAAGAAAAACTACGTTTGACTGAGACAGTAGTGAATGGAATAATTAAGATTAAGCAATATACCTTATAAGCTTCTTTAAAAATATCACGATTCTCAAATAGTTTTTCCAACAATTTATCAATGTCAATGTTTATAAAGTTTTCATCACTGTAAATAAACTGTAACTCATTTTTTAACCTTTGTAAGTCATTTAATTTACTAGGATCCATTTGAATTAAATTATTATTTATGTAGGAAAGCTCTCCGAATATACAGAAAATTTGGAAGTGTCCATTAATGTTACAAACTGAAGCTTATCAGTATACTGAAAGCGAGTGTTAATTTGTTCTAAAATTGTGTCTAGGATTTCATAATACACAATTTTATATTTTTGAACTACTTGATTTCTTGTCAAGACTTGTCTTATGCACCCATCACGGTGCTCAGAAGGCAGTTCTCCTCTTAGGGAAACTGAATCAATTACATTTGCAAAATTAACTTCACTTCTTTTAGCGTTTAGTTGATTCTGCGCATTTTTAATTTGAGATACACAGTAATTTATATCTAAAGAACGTTAGCTATTTGGCCTCTAAAAGTTTGTGCGATTTTTCCTTTAGAAGTTAGACTTTCAATTTTTCGCGCCTTTTTTTGCGCACGTGGTCATGCTCTTTCTTTTATTTTAACTCAAAAAACTCCGAAAAAAGCCGTATGGGGTAATTTGGGTCTGGAAAAGCCGAAAATTGCCTCGAAATTTTTCTAGAGCTTCTCAGTTTTCTCGTAGGGCCCCAAAATCGCTCGAAAACCCACTTTTGGCCCCCTATCTCGTTCCACATGAGCCATATTCGTTTTATATGGTAATTTTCGTCTTTTCCAGGCCAGAATACTCTATGATGATTTTTTTTCAAATTTTTAGATTAAGTAATAAAAAATTTTGTGGTCCAGAATTTACATATTTTTCGTAAAATTATCCAAGTCTCTCAACCGATATTAGGAACTTCAAAATATTTTTTTTTTCAACTTGTATACTCTATTGAACGAGCCTCCTCTATATTTTGGTCATATCTCAAATAATATGGGCTCAGAAATGGTTTATCTGCACCTATCTCTTGAAGAGGTGTTCTTTCCGAAAAAAAAAAATATATATTTTCCAAACGGTCGACTAATTATGATATTTCAGGTGGTGGAATACCTTAGAATGTCACAAAAAGAAAGAAAATGATCTCTAAAAGTTTGTGCGATTTTTTCCTTTAGAAGTTAGACTTTCAATTTATCGCGGAGAGGTCTTCTTTCCGAAAAAAAAAACTATTTTCCAAACGGTCGACTAATTATGATATTTCAGGTCGTGGAATACCTTAAAATGTCATGAAAAGAAAGAAAAGGGCCTCTAAAAGTTGCGATTTTTACTTTAGAACTTAGACTCAATTTTTCGCTCTTTTTTTTTTTTTTTTCGCACATGGGCATATTATTTTTTTTATTTTAACTCAAAATACCTTGAAAAATCTTCTTACTGGGTATTTGGGTCTGGAAGAGCCGAAAATGGCTCCAAAATCGCTCGAAAACTCACTTTCGGCCCCCTATCTCGTTCCACATGAGCCCTATCCGTTTTTTAAAATTTTTAGATTAACTTATGCAATACATCAAAAAGTACATCGCTGATGGAAACAATTTCGATAAAAATGATAAATAGAACAAAAAATTCAAAGTCATTAAACATATTTAAGCTCTGTCTTATTGAAGCCTAATCAGAATTTGGGTCGTTTAAAATGTCATTAAAAACTTGTTTTAGAGAATTCCAATTATTATTAATAAGACTCAAAATCTTAGAATTAGATGACCATCTGTGGGTATTCGCTTTTTGCTAAATGATGAAAAAAAGAAGACAGGACTAAATTCAGACTGTGCACCAAACAATGAACGAACACCGCCTCTGGTGCTTCTTCCTTAATCTTCGATTGTAAACCATTTAATTGCCCTGATGTAACACTAGCGCCATCATAACATTGTCCAACAAGTTTTAATTTGTAGTCGTATTTTTCTAGACAACTTGTAACTAGGGTAAACAATGATTTAGCTGTTCGATCAGAACTTATATCATGGAATGCTAAACATCTTTTAACTAGCTTTCCTTAAGAGTTAACATAACTAATTATTATGCTGCATTAAGATTTTTGAGCAATATCTGTTGAGTCGTCTACTTGAACGAAAAAAATTGCAATCATTTTATTCAATTTCAATATATTGATAAATACAATTTATTAATTCATTCTGAATTATTTTAGAATTTGCGGCAAATACAAGCAAATTTTTTATATAGTGTTCTTGAATATCTACAGAACTGAGTGAGATATAGGAATCTGAAAGTTCCTTGAAATAACTGCGATTTTATGAAGATTTATCTTCATTATGACCAAATGCCAATTCTTGTTTTCCTAGAAAAAGAACTGCTCAAATTGGCTACTGCATATAAGTCTGTTAAGATGCACTTTTTCCTTAAATTGTTTTACATATAGCCTAGAGTTTTCTTTTAAAGCTTCTTCAATAGTATTTAATTTTTTTTTTTAGTTCTGTAAATCTTAATACACAACACATATATTTGCATGATGATTCATGTTTAAGTAGGCTGTGAGTTACGTTCCCAAATTCACTAAAACCGTTTTTATTCCATACATTTGATTTTACACCTACTATCAAACAGGGTACGCAAAAAAAGTTTGTTTAAATAAAAACTACCACTTAACTATTTACATTCGGAATACCACTCTTTCCGAAATTTTCGCATAATCACTTTGTCTTTTGACTGACTTAGTTTTTTTGCTTACATTTAGTAGAGGTTCAGGTTTTGGCGAATTTAAAAAGTCTTTTTTATCCTCACTTCTCCATCTACAAAATAGCATCTCTAATAACATATATACTGGATCATGTACTGGAAACATTGTTAGAAAATTCGAAAAAAACTCGCAATTGACCAACTAGTCCAACCACTGTATAAAATTAGTCCCGACCGGAAGAAGAAAACTGAATCAACGCGTCAAGTACATTAATCGGCTAGATCAAAACGTGCCGTTACCATAGCAACCATCGTAAACGCGCCGATAGAAGAGACGCTTGTTTGGCGGTTTTATGCATAGCGCGTCAAGCGCTCCGTTCTCTCTGATTAGGAAATATTTCTATTGTATTATATTTTCAAAAACAGACGAGGCCGGACGATCGTTTTTTTTTTATAAGTTTGTTTCATATAGTGGTTCAGATACTCCAAAATTAGGAACAGTTTTGGAGGTTTCTGTTTTGTAATATGTATAGAGACAAAAATGCAGGGCATTTTGTTACAGAAAAAGAAATATTTAGCTATTCAGTTGATTTTTTAATTAATTTCTACTGAAATTTTGATGAAGCAGCGCGTCACTGCATCATCTATCGAGCCGCCACTTTTGAATTTTGAAAAAAAAAATATGTTTACAAAACAAAAAATTTAATTTAAAATACAAAAAAAACTAGTATTATTTCATTAAACTTCACTAAATTAGTTCCTTTAGACATGCTTAAAGTTCCTAAAAAAAAATGTCAACTTAAAATGCTATTAAAACGTTGTGGTTAATTTTATCATCGCTAATCATCATGTAATGCTTCCTACCAAAGTTCTTAAACAAATTTCGTGCCCAAATTTCGTGAACAATCGTATTAAAAAAAAAAAAAATATGTGATACATGTTTAAAATAAATTAACTCAAACTAATAATGATCTTAAATGTTGTATTATATTGAGAAACATCCGAATTTCTAAAGATGTCGTTTAGGACTATAGAATACGATTTAATTATTTATGGTAGATACATTACAAATGCTTATGCAATAAATTAATTATTGATTTACGATTTTACGTATATCTTTTACTTTTTATTTATTTTACATTTTGTATGACTCGTATCTATTGTTACACCGCTCTCAATAACATTTTTAGTTTATATTTAATTTTGTTTTATGACAATACAAACTGATCTAAATCATTTAATTTATTATTTGCTTTTAGACGAAGGAGATAAATGTGTACCACGGTTCCATGGTGGTGGAGCTTTTCTTGCAAAATGTGCAGATAAATTGGAATGTGGAAAAGATGGAACATGTATCAAGAAAGTCAGTAGTTGAAGTGAAGAAATGTATTTAACAATAAACAGTTGTTAAAACGTTCGACATTAAATTATTTCTTATTTTTTGTATTAAAATTTGCTTTTTTTTTCAGTCTTAATTATTATATTTTGAAGGACCACTTTTTGTTTTTCTTACAGCTTATTTTGCGTAAATACATTTAGAATTACTCTTAAATATTTTTTAATAATCTACCCCTGCATTATAATCATGGAAACCAGGGGCCGTTTTTCCATTGGTTCATTTGTGCAGTGGACACCCAGTTACACATTATTTTAAAATAAATAAAATTTCCTCTCTGCATTATTTTTCCAATCAAGCTGTCAAACTCTAAAATTCACCATAATACAATTTTAACTGTTTATTTAAAAATCGTGTTTAAATAAAACTGCAAATTTAATAAATTGGAAGTATGTGTGTCAATTCAATGATTGTTAACAAAATACGTCTCCAAGATCTAGGCAAAACATTTGCTATTATTGTTGAGGTTATGTTTATATTTTGTTTTCTTCCAGTTTCTACAAAATAGTCATGTGTTTTATACCCAACTCTAAAACAGAAAACTGCGTAAATGTCATCGGTACTCTTTTATAGGAAAAACATCAAAATTAAGCATTGACTAAGTTCCATTAATAAATGGGCTCTTATGGTAACTTTAAACAGATCTTAGACTGCAGTTGCCAGTCAAGAAAAATCATTGTACATTGTACCAGAAGGTATTTTACAAGTATGATAATTTTATTACCTATGTTTTAATTGAACAAGGATAATTTCTTGACCCAAGTACAATTTTGAATAAATAATTGTTTTATTTTGTAGGTTGTTCCTAATGAATTTGAAGTTATAGAAATTTATCTTATCTATAGAAATGCTAAAGGTACGATAAACAGTGTCAAACTAATGTAGCGGTGAGGATTTAACTCGAATGATGATATCGTATGCATTTACAAAAAAAAAAATAGAAGCTAAACTTACATGACAGTTTCTTTTTAAAGATAATAAAAAAATAAATATTGCACTTCGCTAAATTAATTTAAGAAACTAAATAGTTGTTTATGTTAGGCATGTACCAAATATCATGAAGACTTAATTAAATATTTATCGATGTCAGTACCTAGGATGTAAACTGAACTATGTCGTACTATTTATAGAGGCATGTTGGAGATATATGACACTATATCCTAGAAAAATTGTTATCAGAACATAGATATCTCGATAGAAACTAACAAGTCATGTGTATTACTAAGAATTAATGCATGAGCTTATTTGTTTCTAGTGCTCAAAAAGGCAAGTCTTGATTGCAAAATAGTACTCTTTAAATGATTTTTATTGATTTTTAATTTCGAAAATGATCTCTTCGCAGAAGCAGTAGTCGCAGGAAATGATAAAAATAGCCAAAAAGCAATGTTCAAATTTTTAAAATAAATCAAATATTTGACATTTTTAACAGTGGCACATTCAAGAATTTTATCTCTAAAAATAGATCTGAAGTTTAATAATTCGATTGCAAGATCATTGCTCCTAAACCTTGCTGGCGCCGGGTAGCAGTTGCTGCCCCAGCTGCTTCGGTAGCTGCGCCACTGTATACAAGTGAATTTTAATCCTTTACAGCTACAGCTTGTTTTTTGCTCTCTACTTAAAATTTCTAAACATCATCTGCAACTGATATGTCAGTAATCACATAATCATAACCAATAATGCAGGTACTAAATAAACAAAAAACTTTGCCCAGTGAAACCCACTTTTCGTCGTCTGATTTGCATATGGATAAAAGCACTATATATTATAATCTTTTGAGGACGGTACCAAAGTAATATGCTGGTACAAATTGTACCGTTTTGTATAAACTAGGTATACTTATTTTCTACTGATTCTAATTCCCCCAAACCCAAATAAATGATTGTGAAAATTTATAGAGAACAGAACTTATAATTTTTTGAATTTTAATTGAACTATAACTAGTTTCGTGAACTGGGCCGCCTATTTATCTGGAAATAAAAGCAGGTGTTTCTCTTACATTATTGATTTTAATGATTAATTTAGCTTATCAAAAGTAGTTTTTGGGTCAGATCACAGTTTATTTATTATTAAATAGCAATAACTCTTCTACGTAGTGTTTCGTAAAAAGTTTGTAGTGACTAACATCATATTTTTCACTTATACCATGCAGCGAAAAAAAATAAGAATAAAGTAAGAAACAAAAAAGTAATTATTCATAAATAATGAGGAAAAAATCAAAACGTGGAATTATCTTCGTTAAGCGTTTCTGCGAAGTATGAAACAATAAAAAACATATTTTAACATAAAAAGCCTCCTTAAAAATTCAGGAGTTTTAGAAGGTTATCCGAACGAACAACTCTTGTTAAAACTCCACATATTGTCAATAACAAAAAGTAACCATTAATCACATTTCCGAAAAATCTATTAATCTATCATTTACAGTAATTATAAGCTTAACACAATTGTTTTCTCCTTCCACTCTATGTGGCTTCAGTGACAAAAAGAATCGAAAATCGAACATTCTGGCCAGATCAATGCATAGATAATAAATATATGAAGAAACATGCCACAATAGGTAAAATATTTGATAGAATTATGAACAATCATGCGCTAACTACACTTTGGTCTAGCTGGAAGTGTCTAACATGCCATTCGGTTCATTATAACAGCTTTTTTAAATATATCAGAAGACATGTCATAAAATAATACGAGCGACCATTTCCCTCCGGAAAACAACTACTCTTTGATAAACTTTGATAAATATCGCAACAGGCATTAAGAAAAACATCAGAGATAGAAAGTTATTCTCAACACTGTAACTTTGAGTTTGCTTACTTGAAGAGTGTCGGACAATCGTAAAGGATATGCTCGATGATCCTATACAAAGCACGGATTCTGACAGCCTCATGATATGAAGATGCTTCCGTACTTAGCAGTGACCACTCAGAATGTCTGTGATCAGATTCTGTATAGGCCAGATATGTAACATACACTGGTGCTTAACCTACGTAAATATTGTCAGTTTTTAAAGAAAGGTTAACGGCATGGAGGAACTGGGAGGAGACCCGAACTCTGTAGCAGGGATGGACTTGATTTATTAGCATCATAATAAACTATTAGATTTACTTAATAAAATAAAATTAAAGTGATTTTTTAATATCAAACAGATGCATCGACATTTTATGTAAAGAGAAAAAAAAGTTCTTTCATATAATATTTTGTTAGTGTTTATTTACTACGGATTTTTCTGCAAGAGAGTACAATAAAATGTTGTAATAGAATAATTTTAATCATTGCCTACGGGTATTATAATGGCAGCATGTGTCATAGGCGAATACTGTAAATTAAACCAGTAGGAAATAAGCATTCTCTGTGAGTTGAACAATGTTTTTTCTACGGCTATTTGCCCTTTTGTTTTGTAACCTCACAAGACATATCAAAGCTTTTCTATTGAGAAATACTAAATTTAGAAAACATTTTAAAATTTAAATCTAATAAAATCATTCTGTCCGCGGTTATCGAAATAAATGATCGATTATTGAATGCAATCAATTATTTTCAATCAATCAATTACTTTTAAATAATCTATTTTTGGTATTTCCTTTATTATCAATTACTAGATTATGTTTGAAAAATCAAAAATAATAATAATCGAAAATATTCGAAAATAATCGAAAATAATCGAAAATAATTGAAAATAATTGAAAATAATCGAAAATAATCGAAAATAATCGAAAATAATCGAAAATAATCGAAAATAATCGAAAATAATCGAAAATAATCGAAAATAATCGAAAATATTCGAAAATAATCGAAAATAATCGAAAATAATCGAAAATAATCGAAAATATTCGAAAATAATCGAAAATAATCGAAAATAATCGAAAATAATCGAAAATATTCGAAAATAATCGAAAATAATCGAAAATAATCGAAAATAATCGAAAATAATCGAAAATAATCGAAAATAATCGAAAATAATCGAAAATAATCGAAAATAATCGAAAATAATCGAAAATAATCGAAAATAATCGAAAATAATCGAAAATAATCGAAAATAATCGAAAATAATCGAAAATAATCGAAAATAATCGAAAATAATCGAAAATAATCGAAAATAATCGAAAATAATCGAAAATAATCAAAAATAATCGATTAAATAAAAAGCCGATAAATCGATTTTTTACCGAGCGAGGTGGTTGTGTGGTAACGCATCTGCCCCGCATTCAGAAGACCGTGGGTTCGAGCCTCGCCGATTAATTGGCAAATCGATTTTTCTAAAAGAATATAACCGAATTATCGAATATTTTAAATAATCGATTATGTTCAAATAATCTATTTTTTCGTATTCTTTTCCAATAAATTATCTTTGAAAAATCGAAAATATTCGATTCATTAAAATGTCGATTTAAAAAATAACCGAATTATCAATTGTCTTAAATAATCGATTATTTTAAAATATTCTATTATTTTAAAATATTCTATTATTCTTTAGTATTTCCTTTCAAATCGATTATTCGATTATTATTGAAAAATATAAAATAATCGATTAATTAAAAAGGCAATTAACCGAAAAACCGATGTTTCCAATAAATAACCGAATTATCGAATATTTTAAATAATCGATTATGTTCAAATAATCTATTTTTTCGTATTCTTTTCCAATAGATTATCTTTGAAAAATCGAAAATATTCAATTCATTAAAATGTCGATTTAAAAAAATAACCGAATTATCAATTGTTTTAAATAATCAATTATTTTAAAATAATCTATAATTCTTTAGTATTTCCTTTCAAATCGATTACTCGATTATTTTTGAAAAATATAAAATAATCGATTAATTAAAAAGGCAATTAACCGAAAAATCGATGTTTCCAATAAATAACCAAATTATCGAATATTTTATATAATTGATTATTTTCAATCAATCAATAATTTTCAATTAATCTATTTTCTTTTCGTATTTCCTTTAAAATCAATTATTCGATTATCTTTAAAAAATCGAAAATATTCGATTATCAGATAATTCAATTTGTCTAAAAAATAACCGAATCATCTATTTAAAATAACCGATTATTTTCGATCAGTCGATTATTTTCAAATAATCTATTTTATTCTCATATTTTCTTTAAAATCAATTATTCGATTTGAAAAATAAAAAAAATCGATTAATAAAAAACCGATTAACCGATAAATCGATTTTTTTCTACGAAAATAACCGAATCATCGATTATTTAAAATAACTGGTTATCTTTGATCAATCGATTATTTTCAAATAACTTATTTTTGGTACCTACTTCCTTTAAAATCAATTATTCAATTTGAAAAAACGAAAAATAATTGATTTATCCAAAATTATTGTTTAATTAAAAAACCGATTGGCCGATAAATTAATTTTTCAAAAAAATAGGCAGTTATCCATTATTTATTATCTTTGAAAAATCAAAATAATTGATTAAAAATATTTGATTAATTGAAAATGATCGATTAATTATAACCCATACACCAATTTTTATTTATATAAAAAAATAATACTCGATTAATCGATTATTTTTGCTAAAAACTAACTTTAGTAAATATTCTTATAAAACTACTACCGATGAAAATGAATTTTTCTACACCGACATTGGTATAAGATTATCTACGCAGAGATTAGTGAAAACTAAAAAGTATGCAATACACCTGAACGAATATATTTTTTCCTACGACCACTTAGGAAAGTGACACATATCACACTATATAGACCTATGGAAAGTGCCCTATATCACACGCGTATGAATAAGAATTTACTTTCCACCCAAGTGAGAATATGCTACTTTCCGCAGTAGCTGTCAGAAAATGTCAAACACATAATTTCTATTTTGATCTATGTAATGTCCATATTAATACTAAAATCGATATGATTGTTAAATTATTGTAAATTAGATCCTAGATATTTATCTTTAACAATTATTTTTAAAATAATTTTAAAATAACTAAGATATATTTGCTTTTTATTCTGGTTAAACACATAAGCGATTAGATCAATCAATTACCGTAAGGCCTGTTAGCTCAGTTGGTTAGAGCATCAACTTTGCAATTTGAGACCGTCCAACGACCGCTATCGAATCCTGGCTGTGCCAGAATTTTTTTTTTATTTTTTTTTTTTATTTTTTTTTATTTGTTTAGAAATTATGAAAATTTAATAAATACGATTATTGTTGATTATTTTTTTAAATACATTTTAATTATTATAATAATCTGGTTTTACATTTTTTGATGAAATTATTTTGTGGTCGTAGGAAAAATATTGTACATCACTTGTGTGAAAAGTGATTTTCCACACTCGTAATGTAATATACTATATATCCATTCTAGGTAGTAAAAACACTGAAAAAAAAAATGAAATTCACTAATCACAGTTCATATTTTGGACACCCAACTACTATTATTTAAAATATTTTAAATAAGTGACAGTTCGGTTAAACTAAATGCCAGTATATTTTTTTGGTGTTGAGATTAAATATACATTAAAATGAGTTATTTTTTGTGTAGAATCGATAAACGATAGCATTTTAATTTTTATTTTGTCCACATTTTGACAAAATAAATTTTAATAAAATTATATGAAACTAATTTAATTACGAGTATTAAAACTAAAATTATAAAAGTGACTGCCTTCTACGCGGATAGCCCGGGTTCGAATCTATTTATTATATTTTATTTTATAAATTAGTAAAATTCATAAATTGCAGCTTATTGTTTAATCCCATCGTTTCTTCAAATTTCACAAGGGAATGTTCTTTATTTAGATTTGTCACTACCGATGTTGTCAGTCCAATAGAAGGGTCAGGTTCAAAAAGTATTTGGTTGGTTGCCTTTTTGGATAGTGAATCAAGCAAAATGGTTATATTTCGATGTGGTGTGACCTTTGATCCATCTTAAGGTAACCACATTATTGATGGATACTCATACTTCGGCCAAAGCTTCGTGACATTCACTTACTATATATAACCCCGAGTAAATTCGTTGTATGTCCAGCTGAGTAGTGCTCGACTGCTATCTGTATAGATGAGCACCCAACATTTTTTGTTTTATAATGGCAATTGTTACGTTTCTATTAATGTTCATTTCTTTAATTTTTTTATAACTGTCGGTCGAAGGTTTACTATATCTAAAGGGTTGTGACATACGCTGTATTCTATTTACAATACGTGAAATAAATAATGTATAACATTTAAATATTTTATGTCGAAAATAAAGAAACCTATACATTTTTCATAAATTGGCAGGCTTGGCGACTACTTTATCGAATAAAACTAGCGTCCAAGACGGAAAGCTATGTCGCAACTCCCTTAGATATACGGGCCCTTCCCACTGGCAGCTATTGTTTGACAGGTCGTTGCAATGCCTTATAGAACATCATGTGCTAATGACATAAAATGTTTCTTTTCCAAACCTTAAAAAACCTTTATAACATTACAGAAGACACAAGTGACTAAAGGTGTTATGTCATATTTTTTCAAAAAATTATTTTTATCGCCTAATACACATAAAATATGTTACATTTTTTGTTTTGTTATAGTTCTGATGTCTAATTTGAATTCAAAAGATGGGAAGATATCATAAGCCATATATCATATTGCAATTGTACAACTTTAAACTCGTTTTCCTCAGAATAATCTTTTTTGTGACATGACACCTTTATCCACTCATATCTTCAATAAGAACATTACGTTGTTTTAAAGTGTTATAAACCAAACGACGTTCCCATTATTCATTTGTCCATACTATACACGTCGACGCAAAACCTTAGCAACCAATGGTTAGGCGGCTATGGTCATCAATTATTCAAATATCAAAACGCTTTCCCAAATGAAAGGAAATTCTTTCAAGTTACAAACTAGTTTTCCCTGAGTCACCGAACGAATAGTATGTCCGCGTCACGCGATCGCTTCTATCAAACCAATCAGTTTGCAATCGTTTCGTATCCGACACGTGTGACGTGTGAAGTGCTCTACTGTTGATTCTGCACATTTTACTGTTGACAGATTTGGATTTTGTGTTGGTGGGGGGGAGTGATCGGAACACTCGTTTGTGTTTGATCTCGATGAATCTATTTAAAACGTATACGCGCAGGCCGCGTCTTAATCCGCATCCTAGTGATTTAGAAAGACCTTTTAATTATATGTAAAGTGGAATATGGGAATCTGCTTAGACACAGGTATAGTTTTTTACTTTTAATCAAATGCCTCCAATAACAACTATTATAGATGACATAAAGAAAAATTTTTATTGGAAGATTTTTCTTCCCTAAATATAAATACAGAATTATATCCCAAAAGTACAAGAACGAGTCCCTATAAAGTACTCACTTTTTTCTGAGACCGACTTCCGAAACAAGTAAAAAATACAATTCACAGTTTAAAAAATAAAAAGTTACCTGGTTACAACGATCTAAAGTCGAAAACTCTAAAATCTCTCAGATTTCATGTCGCTCTCCATCAGCATTTAAACTGTAAATTGAAAATTTCTGTATTCAAAAGTGGAAATAAAGAAAATGTGTTCAATGTTCAATTATAGACCCATATCTCTAATATCTAACTTTCACTAAAGTTGTTGAGAAAATGATTAAAATTAGTTTAAAAAATATAATTTACTATCAAGATCGCAATATGGTTTTAAAGAAAAGATATGTACTCAAAACGCCGTTATTCTGCATCTACGTATCTTTAGACAAACACATTTCTTCAGTAGGTATTTTTATAAATTTAAGAAAAACTTTTGACACAATTGGCCATTCTATAATAATATTAGATATATTGGAAGACACAGGTATAGCGCACGAGCGGTTTAAAGTTACTTAAAAAGACAGATAACAAGAAGTTGAAATAGAAAATTATATTACCATAGATAATTTATGTATTAAAAGAAAAAGTTGCAGCGCGACTTGCAGCGGAGTGCGGCTTTTTATCGTAAATGGCAAATAACTTGCCGCTCGAATTACACACAAGAAATTTTCCACGATCACACGATATTAAAAGTATGTAGTTTTATTTTGCCGAATTCGTTAATTTGACAGACACGGCTAAGTTGACTAGCAAACGAAAAGTATGTTATATTATATTATGTTGCCTGCTTACTCTATGATTAATTTTATATTACTTATAAAAAATATTTGTTAGTAAGTACGTCTTAAAAATAACTTACAATTTCATTGGTTAGAACACTCAAATCGCAAATTAATGGCACATACACTGTTTTAAATTTTATTTAATTTTACAAACAAAAAAATCACATTAAAAGAAATAATAACTGGTGAGTATCTAACTCACGACCATCGGGTTTAAAGACAAACGCGCTAGGCTCTACACCAACAAGACATGTTAATATGAGGGTAATTTATTTTTAATATTTTAATTATCATTTAAATATTAAGGAAAATAAGTTTGAGTATTAAATATTTAACTAAAAGATTCAGATTACTCAAATTAGTCTATATTTTCTTTTAAAATACCAATTAGCTTTATAATAATAACCTTTCTAATGAAAATAGGCGTGTGCAAAAAGTAACTTCCCGCCTATATGCAGCAATAATATCAAACTATGACAATGCTAGCCATTTCATTATTCAGTCATGCTCTAATCCTCCAAGTCCCTCTCTGTCTTATTTGGCCTTTGAGGCTTTACTTAAATTATTAACAAATAAACTGTTGTTTAAAATAAACTGTTGTTTAAAATAAACTGTTGTTTAAAATAAACTGTTGTTTAAAATAAACTGTTGTTTAAAATAAACTGTTGTTTAAAATAAACAAACGCAACAATACGTTGTGGAACTCCAGAACTCCAGAATTTATCTTGAACTGGTGTTTGCTCAGGGTAGAAGTACAATCTAAATCAATATTTGACTGCCAACAGTCCCTCCAGGCCCTGGCAGAACATAACAAGGTCACCCTTGAATGGGTGCCAGGACATGAGGGAGTGTTTGGAAACCAGAAAGCAGACCTCCTAGGAAGGAAGGGAACGAAAAAACTCTTATTGGACCAGAACATACATGTCGTATCTCATACCAACATGTTAAATGGGTGTTAAAGGAACAAATAAATAGAAAACACCATAGGCTCTGGTTGGAACTTCCTGGACTTAGACAGTCCAAAAGATTCATAAAGGGGCCATCCACGAGCAGACATCAACTGCTAAATCTTAGCAGAAGCTCACTCAAGGCCGTAATAGGACTCCTTACCGGACACTGTGGCCTTAGAAGACACCTTAATCTCTTAGGGATATTTGATGACTCCCTATGTAGAATATGTGAAGAGGAAGACGAAACTCCTATTCACATACTATGCCACTGTCGGAACGGTATAAATATACCTTTCTAAAACACTGAAAGTTTTTTACCTTCATCTGTACTGAGATCTATATTCTGTCATTTTGAACCCCAAATTTTTTGGTCACAGACCGCCACTGATTACAACCAACTTTCGTGATTAGTTGGTTTAGACATTGAGTTCATTTTACTCAAAGTAAAATGAACGAGGTTATTGTGGAATTTAATTTTGAAAATTAATAAAATGAACAATCCTTACCACCACGGAAGGAATTTGGGACATGACGAAGGAGTTAAAATCAGGACATCACATAAAAAAAGGACCTAATCAACGTTACATTGCAAAATAAATGGTTTTCAGACAATTTCCAGGATAGTTGCCTGGTTTCAAAAAACAGGACAATACTACAGAAGGCCTAGCCAAGGTCGTCCAAGGATTTACTTACCACGTACAGCAGCAGATGTCCCATTTTTATTACTAACTGCTCTTCCTAGGAAGGAGGAATTAAAGCCAGGATGACCGACATATACGTTAATAAGCTGAAATTTTAGGCTCTTTAAGCTCGCATGCAATGTACTTTTAATGTAACCCTAATATTCCTGTAACCGCCGAATGTCCGCAACGGCAAGATTTTTATAACACTTTTATAGTACTTACCCCGAAAGTCGCTCTGAAACGTTCTTTATATGTTATAATGTGAATTAGTTATACAAGACAAAATTAGCTAAATAGTATAATAAGGTACCAATATTTCAAAGGTTCATTAGAAGCTTAAACTATTGTACAAAAGTATATTTATATAAGGTATGTGTCAATGGTTCACTAGATTTTTATGAAGATGGCAATTGTATGATGCTAAAGCTAGATCGGTGAATAACAATGACTAGGTACATATTATACTAGGTTACTAGAGGATAGCTGAGTTCCCTGATTTCTTACCTGTAGACGCAGAGATGTCATCTTTTTTAAATCAAGGCTGTTAACTTTTTTGTATAGATATTTAATATTTATTTATGCTAGTATGTAATAATTTATTAAGAGTGGATAAATTATATTTTTATACAAAAAGATGTTACTTTTTGAATAAAAAAGGCAATGACCTACCTGTTTAACTAGCCATTATTAAAGAAAATTATATAGAAATCAAAAAATATGCTCAAGTTTAAATCCTTGCAATTATTTTTAGATAATTTAGCCATACTTTGTTGTTTTAAATCAAACAACCAATGTTAATGTATTGAAATTTGTTTGAATTTTACAAATTTTATGCTTGATTTCCAAGTTAGGTATGCAGATTTTATTAAAAACAACTTTTTTAGCAAGATATTCTGCTATTATACTCGAGAGCATCATCTGTGATTTCTCTCAACTTCTCTTCTGGGTTTGCACTTGAACAGATGGTTAGATTTCCAGTCTGTTAAAGAGAATGAATCTGATGTTTTTTTTTAATATAAAGATACTATGTACCTAGCTGTAGATTCACTTTTTATAAAATTTCATATTTTTCTTTAGACAGTTCTGTAGTATTTACTTTTGCTTTTAAGATTCCTAGAATATTATCAGGTACAAAGGAAACCTAAAATATAATATTTTTAATTCGATTAAGTATAATTACCCAGAAGTTAGTTTTGTTTCTCTTTTATAAGTATTTGGTGTAAAATGTTACTGGACATTCGGTTAAATGTTTACCGTCTCGGTTGCAACTATTTATCTGCCATTCTTTATTTTTATTGTAGTTAAACCATTTTGTATTTGGTACCTAATAAATGAAATATTAAATTTACACCAAGCATATTCATCTAAAACAAAGACATTGGTTTAGAAAATAGTTTCCTATTTTATAGAGGACTCTCACCAAATCTACTCTAATGTATAAATAATAATTATTTTTACAAAAAATTCTGCAAGTTAAAAAATAAACAATCAAAAACATGACAAATGACAAGAAAAACTGTCAATTGACATAAACGTTCCGAATTCAGATTGTGAAGTTCACAGTACTTCTCGTGGATACTTAGCAAATTATTACGTTGTGTTAACATAACAGGTAGGTTAAATAGGTAAGAAACAAATATAAGTTTCGCGATGTTTTGATTTCCCTCATGAACGTTTCATTTACGTTGTATAGTAATGTTATTACGTTCCCTTAAAGCCGAAAGGCTTGGCAACGTTATGTGCTAGCTGGGTAGTGTGTTGCTTGTATGGAATTTGCAAAAAATTATGTGAATTAGGAAAAAGACGATTGGTCCAATGTTTTGTTTTCTGATAAGTCTTGGTATAGCCTGTTTTCATCTGACCGACGTATTCCAGTCTACAGAAGTGATGGCGAACAATACATTTAGTGTAACATCGAAGAAATGGAACCTTCTGGTGTTGGCTATGTTATGGTGTAGGAAGGAATTTCTTTAGTAGGGTTAGTATTAATTCTTGGAAAAAATTCAACAGCTATAAGATACATAATGGAAATTTTTGAACCTTATTTTCTATCATACGGGCCATTTGTTGTCGACAATTTTGTTTTTCTGCAAGATAACGCTCGCACTCACACAGTGAAAGGAATGGAACGCACTCCTACCTGGAGCCAGCGGCTAATATGGTCGCCCTAAGGGTTGGAAATACCAGAGGAAATAAACTTAAAACAGGCTTGAGACTCAAGAAAATGTTGAAAGCTTTTTTAGATTTTTTATTGACATTCCCTTTCAACAGTTTTCATATACATAGTGATAAAACAAAAAATAACAACAATATAAATTAGACAATCAAACTATTTGCTAGTCCATTTTTAACACACAGCTTTAATCCTTTAATTGTTCGTCAATACCTAACCGAAGTTGGTATACCCACATTGAATTGTGTGAATCCACTAAAGCATGCCTGGAAGAATTTATTATGA